TCGAAGCGCAAGATTAGAAAAGTGAGACCTGGTTTAGAGTACACTCCGTGAAGGTAGGGAGCACACATGCAAAGCATGAACGGAACAACCTTCACCTTTGCAGAGCATTGGTGGACGCAAAAGATGCAAAGACTACGGCGTCTACCGTAAAGCAAAACCGCTCAGAAACCCTAAACCCTAAACCGTCATCTTAAAACCATTTAAAACCTAACCACAAGCCTGTCTCTTCGGTCCCCTAGAAAGCCCACCTCTGCTGTGCCAGGGCAGCAGCACGCCGCTGCTTGTACCCCTGCCGCAGCTAAGTTTACTGCCTCTAAAGTTGGAGGGTCAGCGAGACTCTTCTCCTGCAGCAACTACTTAAAGGATCATGGGACTTAGTAATTACGGTTATTACTAAAGTAACTATACTTATAAGCCCAATTAAGGTACTTATAATATAACCATACTTACTAAGTCCTGATCCTCCAAGTATACAGTGAGCTGCACCACCCCACTTTGTTCTGATAGGTTTCGGGCTGTGGCCTCAAGTCCCAACTTTAGGGCCGAAGAAGGCCTCTGCAACTGAGGGCCTTTCCTAGAAGACCTTCGCAAGCTTGTGTCAGCCCTGGCCCAAACTCTCGTCGACCCTAAACCTGAGCGAACTCAAGTTGAGGCTTTGGGCTCCCGAAGCAATGCGACGGGTGCAGGAGTGGTAATACGATCCTCTCTTGTCGTGCATCTATAGCTAAAGTATCACAACCAGCAAAAATGAGAGTACACCCCAAACCCTCTTCAGATCCTGAAAAAATCTTCCGAGATTGCAGCTGGTCTTTGGGGCCCTCTAGTTGACGTAGGAAGCTGATCATGAAGACGTTGAAGTGGTGAGAATTTAGTTATTCAGAACCCACTAAGTACGAAGGGCAATGCATACTGCAGACACCGGTAACACGAAAACCTTGGCTACATACTGCAAATGCCCGGGGAAGTAGAATAGGGCTCTGTCATTCCCAGGGAATACCAGTGGCGACTGTTGGGTAATTGTCCAAGCATCTAGCTGCTAGCCTATACTGCCAAGCCTCTTCTCGAAATGGGAGTTTCCGAAAATAGGGGACCTTAATATAGTACCCTAAATAGTAGGCTCCTTATTGTAGGGACCCCAAAATTTGGTATCCCTGGTTTTCGGAAACTCCCAAATCGCTCGAAATTCCGGCCTGGGCTGGTTCATCCTGCTCGAAAGCCTGGCTAGTGAGAAGGCAGAGAGCCGAGACTCATGGCATACAGGGCTTGGTGCTTAAGGCTTAGGGATTCAAGCTTCTGTCGTTGGGAAGTGGGGTTTTCGATGTGATTAGGGGATGAGGGATGCTGCTTGCGTGCCATGGTCTGGGGTCCCTTTGTGATGTCCTGGGGTGCCCCTTCGTCGCTGCTCTCGTCGCTGACCTGGCCCCATGCACGCATGACCTCCCTGAAAGCAGCAGCAGCTTCAGATTGGCCGGGATTCTTGTCCGGATGCTACAACGGACTTTGAGGGCGGCTTTGAAATCGGCTTCCGTGTATTGCTGCATGAGCGTGCACCTCCGCACACGGTCCTCGGGACGTGTGCAATTTGCCAGCTTTGGCTCCAGACCCAAGACATCAAAGCAGTCCGCTTATCCAGCAGAGCGCTTGAGATCTTCTGCCAGTAAATTCCAGAGGAACTAGAACACACAAGACAAATTGCAATCGTGATCCGACTTTCACGCATCCGCTGGCCTGCGCTGCAGACGTATCATCTTGAAAACGCGGTGAGGGCCAAGTCCACCGCGGCCTGCGCACTCTCCTTGCAAGCCTCCACCAAGTCCGATAGGAGCTTCTCAGCCTCGGGGCCTGAGCGTTTTGTGCAAAGACGCAGCACAGCAAGCCTGCTCAGGCTTCAACGATGCTTTGCCGGCACGCAGCACAGTCGCAGGTGGAGGACGGCAAGAAGAGACGGCGTCAAGCCTGACTTTCACCATCGCGCAACGATGACACTCGTTACCCCCACAGCTTTCTACCTATGCGTTTACGTTACCTATCGGACACGTGACCTCGAAAAGATGGATTCCGCAAAAATAACGCATCAAATAAAGCAATCCCCCGAATGGCACTTAGAAGGTACTTAGGAGGGTGTCTAGAAACTACTTAGAGGGTCTGTCCTTACGCGGCAGTCCCGCGAAAATCTACGTGAACTAACTGGCGGCGCCTGGCCGTCGCCGCCTCGAGCTGGTGTCGTCGCACACGTTGAGGGTAATAAGCAGGTCCTCCGCGACTCCCGCCCGTCAAAAGGGCTAAACCCAGCACGGTCTTGCAAGGCGCGACACTGAATCATCTGCGCCTGCCGCAACTTGACGCATCTCTGCGGCACCAGGATTTCATCGGGCGCGAGCTGGTGGCTGATGGACATCATGCCCTTAACCTACAAACATCCAAACTCAATGCTGCCCAGCATGGGAACCACCGAGAAACTGACAAGTGCCAGCCAAGCGAGGAGGAACGTCTCCTCCACGTCCCCCTTGTACGGCAGAAACGCGCGGACCTGCGCAGGGGTGTAGAAGGAGTCCCCAGGCTTCCAGAAGTCAAACCTGGACGAAAGGAGCGTCTTGACAGTCAATAACACCACAAGGCGACACCCCACCTCGAAGCAAGCTCCTTGCTGATGAGCATGTTGCCATCCAGGCAGTCCACCCCTGCCCCTGCCTTGCGTAAATGGTACATGGCTGTACGCGCAAGACGGCAGAACAGCGGCAGCTACTTAGCACTGCGCGCGCTGGTCAGAGGGCCTTGTTCAGGCTGTCCTCCACGCGCAGGAACTTGACATTCACGTCCGCCAGTGCCACCCGCCGAAGCGTTGGCGTGGATAGCAGCGGCATCCGGGCATATGGCGGTTGCAGCTTGGAGGACTTCTTCCACGGCTGCCATTGTTGAAAGCTGGAGCTAGCTGCGCAGACAAGGAAACCTAATGTTGCAGCTGCTACAGGGGTTCAAGGAGCCTGCATGTGGAGACAGCGACCGCAACCCTGAATGCATCCACTCGAAGAAACATGTGCATGGATTTCTGTTGATGTGTTCCCACACCGGTGTTTCAAGCAAGCATGAAAACGTGCACTGTTTGCTGGACCGGCGTGACACGTTGGCGACCATCAGCTTGCAAAACCGACATACTCGTCTAAACCCTAGAAAACGTCAGCTCGCAGGCACTTGACGTGGATATTTCGCTTCTGAAAAGAACGCCGTAAAAAATTGGCGAGCCACTACCCGTGCGAGTAATGGTGCTGCTGCCAGGCCCCCCCGCCTGTGGGGTTCAGAGCAGGCCATTGCCCGGCCCTGCTCCCAGGCCCCCGCGCCTGCGCGAAGCTTCATCGGAGGTGGGGGGTTACTGATGGCCCCCCCCCTTTAAGCGCCTAAGACAGTCGGGCACCTGATCCACTTCGCTGTAGTTGAGCTTGGTGGGGCGCCAGGCGCCCGTTTAGAGTCCGCACTCCACACGGATCTCTTCTTGAGCTAGATGAGCTTGTATGGTTTTCGCAGGTTTAGAAGCAGACTCACTCTATGCTTGCAAGTGAAGCTCAGGGCTCAGGGCTTAGGACACCAGTCCATTAGGTTTCTGGGTCTGGATTCCAGACCCAGAAACCTAATAATCTAGTCTGAGCCCTGAGGTTGACCGTGCTTTAGGGACTGTCAGGGTCAGTGCACACACGGTGGCCGGTTGAAAGTCAAACCGCTATGATGTCTGGCACCCTAAAGCCCTCAACCCCAAACCCTCAGACCTGACACCGCAGCAAAACCTTCGAGCTGGCGGCCCATCTTTTTAAAAAATTCACTCAACTCCGTTAAAGCCTAATTCCACAGCGTTTTCCGTTTCAGGTACGGGTAGGGTTTAGGGTTGATTTGGCCCAATGCAAGCCGTCATAGCAGCCCACATGAGACCCTCGCAAAACCCCCAACCAGCTGAACCATAAACCCTAAACCCCTAAACCCCTGCCAGCTGAACCATCAACCTCTCGGAAAAAAACACAACCAGATGCCTGAACACCCCAAAGCCGTCGACCGCCGTAACCAGCCCCACAAAAACCTGTGCATCGGCGAGCCTGGACAGGCACATCAGCACCTCCGATGCGGCGACCACAAATCTTGCTTTGCAAAGTCTTTCTGTCAGAGCTTGAACCCTTATATAACTCGCAACCCTAATCCCTAAACACTAATTAAACCCTAATCCCTGAAACCCTCATCCTCAAACCCTATAATCCCTGAAATCCTAAACCCTTCACCCGGAACTGGTGGCTGCCGAAAGGCGCTGAGACACCGCGGACACGTAGGAGGCGTTGGACTCCGCAGAAGGCCTGGGTCTGGAAACTTGCGCCTTCTCAAGGGCACTCGAACTCTAAAGGTCCCGAGGTACTGATATGGGGGGAGTCAGAAATAATGGTAACTTTTAATTTAAAAACGGTTTAGGGTTTAGGGTTTAGGGTGAAACCCTAAGCCTAAACCCTAAACCCTAAACCTAAACCGTTATACAAGCCCCAAGGGCACAAGTAGTACTTATTTATGGGGTTGGGGTACCCAAAAAGACCCAAAGTCCTACGATAGGAAGCACTTGGACCCGTAGGGCCGTAGGGTCTTGCTCTGATGGTTTCGACGGCAATGAAGCGTTGCTCTAGTTAGGGTTGAGGATTTATTGTTTAGGCTTCGATGGCTTCGATTGAAACAGAGCGTTCCTCGAAAGACTTCCTTGAAACAGGGTTTCTAAAAGGGCTCTATCATCGTTCCTATAAGGGCACATTTAAGGGTTTCTTGACGGGCTCCACAAAAAAACCCTAAAGCCCCAGACCCTAAACCCCAAGCCATCCTAAACACTAAACCCCTGAACCCCCAAATCCCTGAACTCACTCTCACTCACTCGCGCAAGAGGACGTCCTGTGCTAACTACAGCGTGCAAAGGCCCAAAAGCGTGACTGCTGTAGTCACGCGGCCGGAAATGGAAAGAAACACTGTACAAGGGCGGCGAGTCAGGCTGCCGGATAGGCCCAAAAAGCTCGCAAAGGAAGCGAGGCCGGGGCCGAGCAGGCAGGGCGAGCAAAGACAGCACGCACAAGGGAGGCCAAGGAAGCAGAGCAAGCGACAAGGAAGACCCGTCCCCACGGCGAAAGGAAGTCCAAGAAGAAGGCCGCCGGAAGCAGGCGGCGCAGCAGGGCAAGACCCGAATTGCTGGGGCGCCCCCAAAGCCAGAGGGCACCACCGCGGAGGACAGCCTTGCAGATCATACGGAAGGAGACCGTGGCAGCGGCCAACTCCAACAGGGACCACTTGCCAGTAGTGGCATCAGCAAGGGTGGCTGCTGCACCCAACCCGCACGAAGAGGCGGAGCGCAGCGCACCAAAGCGGCGGATGGCCCGATGCTCCCAAGGTTCAAAGAACTCGAGCGCGGACCACATAGGCCAAAGTCTGTGCCAGGAGGAGGGAAGCTGAAAGACACCTCCAAGGCCGAGAAGCCCAGGCCACCAGGGCGAGGGAAGAGCCCAGTCGTCACAGCCAGCAGCCCCTTCCACAACGGAGAACCATTGCAAAGGGTGTTGCGCAGGAGAGGCCGCCTCAACAGTGGCCGAGCGGGAATGCTGGGAGGCAAGGGACTTGGGGGAGGAACCACGAGCAGCGGAGATCAGGCAGGCCTGCTGTGCGCCGGGGGCATCGTCGGAAGGCGACAAGGAAGATGGTCGACGCAGGTTGCCGGGGACAAGGTCCGAGAGCGCAGGGGAGCGTTGAACAGCTTCCCACTCAGCCTGCAGGGCCGCGTCATCGGCCGGCACCCCGAGGTCGGCCGCCCGTCTCTGCGCTGGGGTGGCATTGCAAAGCCCGCAGATGCGTTGCGGAGGGACTCCCCGGTGGCTGGCGCGACCCGAACGTTTTGTGCCCGAGCCGTACTGATAGACAGGGCCGACTGTAACACGCAGGCCGTGCAGGCAGGAGCGCTGCGTTTGAAGGTGGTGCTTCAGTCGATCCGAGGATTGGAAGTCTCGCATACACCAGAGACAAACCGAGCCCGCCATATAGGCAGTCACATCAGACAGGACGCCGTGTTTCCGATGCATGTGAGCGCGTACTGCATGAAGGCTCGGGAAAACACCTCGACAGACCGGACAACTGTGGGATTGTGGCGCACCTAGGATCTTGGTGGTGCGACGGGTGGCCAGGTCCGCCCAAAGCTGGGCGCAGGCAGCATACCTGTGCCCAAATTTGCTCAGAGCCTTGCACGCTCGAAGGAGAGCGCGTCCGTTCTGCTGGACGAACAGGACAGTGATGGCGGGAGGAGCGGCGGGGTCCCAGGAGTCTAGGGCGACTCCCACTCGCAAACAAGCAAGGACGAGGGCCTGACACCAAGGGATTGCCCGGTTCCACGCAGCATCGACAATTTCCCTGACAGCCGCTGGAGCCTTGCAGAAAAGTTGCACACAGAGGCGGCACTGGCTAACAGTGGTAGCAAGGTCAGGAGGGGTGATATCAGCGAGAAGCCGAAGCAAGGGGGTGGTAAGTTTGTGACCGACTTGCCAGGAAGACAACAGGATCCTAGCTGTGCGTTCAAAGAGTCCAGCCAATGGCGCAGCAGCCCGGGCGGAGTCAGCGCGCGAGAAGGCCAAGGAGGAGTAAGCTGAGGGGAGAACTCGGCCGGTAATCCAGGCTCGTTTCAGTTCCCAGGGCAGACAATTGCTGCACAGCAGGGTTCGGGCAAGCGACGCCGCCGCTGACCCCCGCTGTGCCGACAGCTCGCAGTCGCGCCTGCCGGTGTCTCGAGGCAGTTGGGCTACACCCAAGTATTTGTACTCAGGGCAAAGTCGAATGCTGTCACCTTTGGAGACTTCCAAAAGGGCGTCGCCGCTGAGCAAGGCGCCTCGTGCAGCGCGTGCACCGTCTCCCCTAATATCGACAAGGGCCTCAGTTTTGCCTGCTCCAAGATTGACCCGGAACCGCAAGCACCGGAGGGTATCAAGAATGACACCAGTGAGTTGGGGGAGCTGTGTTTGGAGCTCGGCAGGACTATCAAAGTCCGCAAGGACTGCAAGGTCGTCAGCCCAGCCAATCGGCTTGACGCCTGGCTCGAGGCCGATCTCGACCCCGGCACTGGTGTGCGAGATGCCCATGGAACAAGCAGTGCGCTGTATGTGTTGCAGCCCAATGGCAAATAGGGCGCCGAACAAAACGTCCGCTAGGCCGTCGCCGGGACGGGAGCCTCGGGAGGCCAAGAAAATGTTGTCCGACCCGGAGAGCGACCAGTGGGACAGAGCAACACAATCCCGAAGGAGCGCGCTGACATCCTCAGCAACGCCAAGAGCGGAGAGAGCCCCCTGGCCGTGAAGCTGGAGGACAAGTCCAGCAAGGTGATGGTGCTCCGGGACATCAACATCGTCAGGGAAGCCATCGAAAAGAAGATCTCGGCTAGCCTCATAGTAAGCGGCTTGGATGTCGACAAAGACAACAGCAACGCACCGCCCCGCTGCGACGGAAAGGTCCCAGGCGCATCGGAAAGCCGCCAGTGCAAACCCAGTGTGGACACCTCGGCGCCCTCCTAGCTGCATGGGCTCATAACGAGACAGCACATGTCCACCGACCGTGGTGCGGAGGTGCGAATGCCACAGCTTAGCGATGCCGTTAAGGAGGGCAATGGAACGGTAGTTGGCAGGTACTGATGCCGGGCCCTTTTTGTAGAGGGCGCAGACGATGGCTTTCTTGAAATCGAAGGGCTCTCGGCCTTGAAGCGCAATGCGGGTGCAGAGTGGCCAAAGCCATTGTCCGGCAAGAGCTCCATGTTCCCGCCAGAGCTCGTTCCGCAGGCCGTCAGGTCCTGGTGCCTTAGCTGGTGCCTGTCGGATGCACATTTGCTCCATTTGGAGCAGTGAAGGAACTGCCTCAAGGCACGGGGAGCGAGTGGCATCGACAGAGAGCCACTGCTCGGCTGTTTGTGAGAGCAGTGCAGGGGAGACGAGGCGGGCGCCTTCCTGCTCACGAAATTGTGCTTCAAGCTCACGGTCGATGTCGAAACCGCCAGCGGCGTGCACAGCCCGACGGTCATGGGCCTTGCGAGAGGCCCATCGAAGATGCCGGATAGATTCCAAAGGAATGCCTGTGGATTCCCAGTGCTGGGTGGCAGCAAGGGTAAGAGTGCGGAAATGGGCAAGCTTGTCAGAACGGGCAAGATAGTGTGCCTTCTGCTGCAGACCCCGGATGTGCAGATTACAGGCCTGTAACAACAACCTGGCATGTTGAAGCCCGGTGGGGTCTGGGCGGGGGACAGCAGTGTCGGATCTACCCCTGACGCAACTCCATCGCCACACAAGGAGAAGAAAGCGCCGTTTCTGCCATTCGACATTACTGCGGAGGCGCGGGAGTTGCTCGCGAGCCTGCCGCACAACATCCAGGGCGGCAACAGACTCAGCAGTGATATAGGGCTGGCGGGCAGGCCGCCGAGGAGCTCTCGGAAGGGCCTCCAAGAGGCGGAGGTGCCTAGCTTTGAGATCCCTGATCTCCTGCCCAACCTCAACGATGCTGCGCACGGGAGATGGGAGCTCACGCCAAAGGCTGGCAGCAATAAGCTGTGCTTGCTTAGCGGTAGCTCGGTTGGATGCCCCGGGGGGTCGTGCCAGTGTCGCCTGTCGTTTAAGACAGCATTCAACAAGGAGAGGCATATGATCTCGGCGGCCGTTGAGAATGTCCAACTCGGGAAGCTGACGGGCGCGGGTGCACTGCCATGGACCCGCCTGAAGCAGGAGATGGTCAAGCCGCTTCCTGGTACCGCCCGTATGCTCCCAGGACCAGCCCGGGCCCTGTTGGATGGCGGAGAAGGAAGCCGGAGCAAGAAGGCCGAAACGCTGGATAGTGTCAAAAAGACCTTGCTCGCCAGCACCCTCCTCACTGTTGCCCAGACAGTCGCCGATGTAGGCGTGGTCTTCGTCCGCCCAAAGTAGGTCAGCGTTAGCATCCAGGCCGAGAACAAGAGACAGAGCCCGGGGCAACTGGCACAGGGACGAGTGCAACGAAGACCAAAAGTGGTGAATCTCAGAAGCGGGCCGCTCAGCGTGGGGGGCATGGGCGGCGATGACAGCAATGGGTAAGTCAGCACGCTTGCTGACAATAACGAGAAGACGAGGGTCGGCGCTAGCGATGCGCCAGTCATCAAGCCGCAAGGGCGGATTGGTAATGCCAGGCCTTATCCAGATTTCACAACCGTAACTCCCTTTCTGCTCGCCGGAGCGCCAGGTGAGGAGGCCGGCTGTGTCCCAACGGCCACCCTTGCTGCGGGCTTCTTGCAGGCAGACAACGTCGAGGCCTAAGGTAGCAACCTGAGAATAAAGGTACTGGCGCCGCTGACCGTGCCCTGAGGGATTGAAGAATGAAACGTTGGAGTCACGCATCGTTTGAACATTGGCTGTGACCAAGCGCAAAGGGATGGGAGAATCGGCAAGTGGACGACCCGGTGGAGCAGCGGCCTCAGTGGATGTCAAGGTATCCTCGGCAGGAGGGAGCACATCACCAGCCTCAGTAGCAGGGGCACATGAGATGGTCTGCGAGACCAAACAAATGCACGGCCGACCCTTTACGACACGAGCATGTGGGATGACCCAGAGCCACGGAGCCGCGTTTTGCATGAGGGAGGGTAGCAAAGGGTCGAGCTGCTTCCACGGTTGCCAGGAGACTCGACCCGACCAGCCGGCAAGGAAGTCCGCGAAGGTGTTTGGGAGCACTCCGACGTGGCTATGGACATGCTGGAACCGTGTGGAGAGCCGAGCTTGAACGGCCTGCCAAACATACCGAGTGGTGGTGGTGGCAGGTGCTGCGGCTTGGGCCTGCCCTGCTGCGATTTGAAGTGCCGCAGCGTTATCAACCGCAACAGTAACCTTGGTAGGGGCAGAGGCTGTGAGAAGGGACAGGCGGTCAACCCAGGCAATAAGCCAGAGTCCAGCAGCCTGTAAGGCCGCGAGTTCAGTGTGGAAGGAGAGGCCGCCTGCCGAGGGCGGCAGGTCAGGGGTCCAGGGGAGCTGATAGCCAGAGGCCCCAAACCAACCGACGCGGTACCATCGATGGCGCCACCAAGCCCACACACAGAAGGCCCAAGCTCCTCCATGCTCGCCGCTGCCGTCAGTGGCAATGAAGACCTGGTCAGGCACTCCCCCGTGCCAGAGCGGGAAGTTGCAGAAAGCCTGACGGTATGATGGAGGGGCGGATGCGGGAAGAAACGGGTAAAGCTCATGAGACCACCAGAGTTGGTGTATGGAAGCCTGGGCGACGCATTCCTCATGAACATCGGCCGACCACGAGATTCCATCAGTGCTGCTCCAAACAGGCGCGCCCCGAGCGCGGAGATAGCAGCTGGTACGGAACAGGAGGCCAAAATCAAACGCGGGAGCTAGGCAGTTCCCTGAGAGGGCCCCTGCACGGGGAAAGAGCAGATGAGCTGGGAAGGCTGGCGGGCCGTAGCTTGCCAGGAGCCCGAGACCAAGGGCCGCAAGCCAAAGCCGCCGGAGAGTACTCGGGAGCAGACCCCCAACTAAAAGGTGGGGAAGGAGAAGGGACGGGGTTGGTCGACAGCCAGAGAGGCTGTCTCCGTCACGCAGCAGGCCACTCGACCCTTGTCGCGAAACGACCTGGACGTGCAGGGGAGGCTGTGCGGGAAGAACATGCGCACGGTGCAGGTTCGGGCTCTCAGGGACAAGGTGAAGACCAAGGTCATCGCTGTGCAGGAATCCATCGAGTGACACTGAAGCAGGCAAGGGAGGGCCGAAATGTGCAGTGCACGGGGTCCCATTGTTCGTCGCGAACCGTGGGTACAGTGAGTGGGACCGGGTCACCAGGTGACCAGGCAAACAGGAGCCCAGGTTGGCGTATGCTGAAAGGGCTTCCCGGCCGGCGAGCGAAGGCGAGGAGCCGAGCGTGAGAACGTCGCCGGACCGGAGGAAAAGAGTTGGGTTCGGTGAGGTATAGCCGTCCCACACCAAATTTCGGGGGGTGCCAAGATGAGAGACAGGTCCCGGACAATTCGATTGTAGGCTCGGAGCAAATCGGCAGCGGCGCACGTAGCTGGAAGGAAGGCAGCCCGGGTGGCCGGGGGGCACTGGAGAAGAACGGTGGCAAACATCGGGTCAGAGGGCACCGGAACCCAGTCAACAAGGCGAGGGTCCTGTGGAGGGTGAACCCGGGTAAAGGATGACCATGCAGGAGCAGCATCTCGAAGAGCGACAGGAGGCTCAAAAGAGGTACCACGGAAGGGTCCAAGGACCCCACAAGCAGGATCCCACAGCCGATGGCAAGTAGGGAAACAGTCTGGCAAGAGAGGGCCCTCTGCGTGCCGGTCCAGAGAGGAGCTCGGGGCAGCGCCAGTGTAGCGAGTAGCCCCGACAGAATGCCCCCAGGCAAGTCCAATAGCGAGGAGAACCACGCTAGGCCCGGCAGTACGCCACCCAGACACCCCGATCAAACTGAAAACGGCCCAAGGTGTAAAGCGTCCGGAGGCCTCGGACACCACATCGCCGCTACGTAGGGTAGTTCCCTGCCTAAGCTCGCGATGAGAAACGCCGAGGACCCGAGGTTGACCGGAGACAGTCGGCAGTTCAGTCCACAGTTGCCACGCATCTGTGACAGCAGTGATGGAGGCGCACCAGCATTGACCATCCGCTTCCACCACCACATTGGCACGGGATGGGTCCTCAGGAAGCAGGACGAGATGCGTGTGGTCCTGGGCAATCCAGGGGACGGGCACCCAGCGACCGGGGTAATGTTGGCTGAATTCCCCTTCGAAGGTGAAGTCGAGTGCCTGCCAGCGAGCTCCTGCGGGGGCATGTCCCCGAACGGCCCTGACGCCCGGTTGCCACAGGATGAAGTTCGCTCGGAAGGAAACTGAAAAATCAACCGACCATATGGCGCAATGACGAACTTGAGTGTCAGAGTGGAAGCAGGGCGGTTGATACTCAGGCACAAAGGCGGCGGGCGGAAGAGCGACAACGAGGTCCCCCGAGCGCCATCTAACATTTTGGTCCGTGGTGGCCTCAGCAGTGAGAGGGCTGGGAGCTCGCACGGACAGGGTCTGCATAGGCTGCAGAAAACGAAGAGCAAAACTGAGCCATGACACTGAAGTAACACATGGAGTCAGGATGGAAAAGTGTTGATCCAAGGACGATATGGCGAGACACACCATATCGAGAGAGAGGGGCCTGGGCACAACAAGCAGGGCAGGGATGGCCGCTGTGGGCCACACCGGCGCAACATCAGCAGCCCATTCAGGATCGCACGCCCGCGCAAGCGAGCTCAGATCCTCAAGTGTGGACACAGTGGGGAGACGTCCAGCTTCCCGCGGACCAGTGAAAGGGCTGAGATACACAACATCAATCTCAGTGCCAGGAGAGAGGTCGACAAGGTCTTCCTCGCCGGGCTTGGCTCGCCATGGGTACAGGCCTGTGCGAATGGGCCTATCCGGCACCTCCAGGACCGGGACCATGCCACACACGTAATGAGAAAGGAGAGCGAGAGTAAGCCAACGGGGCCATCGAGCAGCGACAGCAAGAAAGGCAAGCCAACCGGCCCCTCGTATCCCAGAAGGTGACGAGCAGGAGGGCCAATCAGAATGAGACTCCTCTACGGCCGCAGAGGGAAGTGGACCGAAGGGGTCCCAGACCACGCTGGCATCTGGGTCGATGACTAGCACATCGCCGTCTCGAAGAGGGCTGTCCGCGCGAACATATTGCAGAGCTGGCAGAAGTCGCCACCCAGGAGGGGCACGATAGGCATTGCAGCCCGCGAGCCGCCGGCCCTGTGGCATGAGGTCCGGCGGCAGAAGGAAGAGAACGTGCGCCTCACCAACGGAAGCTTGATGCACCAAGTGAAGACTCGACAGGTCACCCGTAAGGACCGGGACCCATGAACCTGACAAAGCCTCCCCGTTAAGGCTCCAAAAGGTGGGACCTTCAGGGTCCCAGTAGCCCGTATCCCTAATCCTAATGTAGTGCCCATGCCGGCGATTAGAATACCAGAGAACTACGAGCCCACCAGAGTCAAACCGAAAAGGAAGAGACCAGCTGGCAACCTGTCGGGCCCGCTCGAGGGAGGGGTACTGCAGCAGTGGGAAGCGGGTGGCCTCTGGCTGAGATTGTTCAGGAACAAGACTAAAGGCGTCGCCGTTACGCAACCGTAGATGAGTGTGCGGGTTGGCCGCGCGTAACACAGGCGGCGCAACCACTCGCCAGTAGCGAGCATGCGTGAACACACGAGCGGCGAGCCGCTGAAGGTCAACCAAACTGGAGTCAACAGACGCCAGAGCCACGGCTGAGCAACTTTCCATGTGAAAGACAACTGTAGCGAGGCCATATGGGGCCACTGGAGCAAGAGTGAGCTGCGAGACGGGAAGCACAGCACGCACCGGAAAGAACCTGCGCGACCAGAGACCGCAGTGCCGAGCACCTTCATGCTCCACTTCCCGCCAGGTGCCTGCCAGGTTAATAAACAAGAGCTCGCTCCAGCCCCGCAGGGGGCAGAGGACTCTGGCAGTCTGCGGCCGAGGCCCCGGAAAGCAGCGTGCGAGTGGGCCGTCTGGGGCGTCAGGTTGCCAGCCACTCTGCGGAACGTAGGGCTCCCCATCATTAAAGTCAACTCGAGGAGGGAAAAACCGTCCCGGCCACTGTGAACCCGGTGAACGACTACGGCTGGGTCGCCGGCGGGTGCGGATGGTTCTAGCCTCGGAGGAGTCAACACTTGGGCAGCTCGAAGAACCAGCCCAGGCATGGGCGGCAAGGCTGTAGAGAAGCCAGGCGAGCTGTGCTGGGAAGGAGAGATGGCGCCCAAGCAGCCCAACGGCCGCTGAGTGGACCCACCAGTCGCCATCGCGCACAGTGGCAGTGCGACAGGCGTGACTTGAGGCAGGACGAACAGTATAACCTGAGATGTGAAGGTCATGGGCGTCGCGCTCCACTTCAATGCAACGAGTGGAGTCGCAGGACTGGATAATATTAGCGCGGCCTGCCACCTCAGACTGTTCAACGAGCCAAGGTGGGGCGCCGAGGTGACCATGGCAAGGCGCCCAGCGGTGGGTTCCTAGCTCTTGTTCATGGTGATGTACCGTGGCGGCAGCTGCAATCCATCGGGCTTGATGCCTTAAAAGGGCGACTCGAGTAGGGCGGCCGGGCGACCACAGCAGAACACAGGAGGCCTGAGCAACGAGAAAGTCTGAGTGCCACGCGGCCGCAGCATGGGCAGCCCCCCATGTTAGAAAGACAGGTGGGTTCCGCGGCCCGGCAAGTGGGTCAAGCTGAAGTGGGCTGATAGCAATAATATCCCCAGATCTCAGAGCAAGGACCGGACGGCTGGCACGGACAGTAGCCGCCAGTCCAGGTAGCAGGCTGACGCTGACGCGTTTGCCAAGTCGCATTTGAATGGCTTGCGTGAGATCCCGCGGGGTCATGAAGGCTGGCAGAATAACGCACAGCAGCTGACCCATGCCTTGCACCAACAAGCAGACCAAGCGACGCCCGGGCAAGGGAACAACAACCTGGGTGCTGTCCAGCACAAGTCCCGTAGCTGCAAAACCCTGATGCCAAGATGCTAAAGTGTGATGCGCATCAGCGACGACATCGTCAAAGAGGTTGCGCGGGTCGGCTTCGACCCGATTCCAAGGGGCAAAAGGGTTAGCAACCGTAACAGTGACGCGAGGAGCTGCAGCAGCCGGGACAGTGGCTGACGAGGCGGATGCTTGTTGAAGCATAGCCTGAGAAGCAGGAATACACGCGGAGGCCGCCAGAAGGGCAATGCCGCGTAGGCCGGAAAACAGGAGGGCGGCCGAGACACCAGGAAGGATGGGGCGGCAAAGAGAGCCCCGCCACCAAGACTGTGGGCCACCCATGGCAGATGAGGCGCAGCCCAGGGCCATGCCACTCCAGGGAGGATCCTCATCAGCAGAGCAGGAGGACCCTCCGATTAGCGACTGGCAGCTAGGTGCAGCGGCAGTGTGAGGCGCATGAAAGGGAGTGATGGCATATGGGTCGCTAAGACCGGCGTGGTATGAAAGGGTATAACCCACAAGAAGAGGCAGACGCGTCTGCCGCTGCTGGCTCAGATGCAAGGTGGTGAGGGTCACACCGAGCCACCAGCTCGGGGAGCCTGGGCTACGAGGGCATGCACTCCGATCGAATGCCCCAAACACCACATCGCCGTTCCTGAGTTCGCAGGCCTGGTCCAAGGCATACGCAGGCACTCCGCCAACTTGTATCGAATCGGGACAGAAGTGGAGCTGGTCAGCAACGCTGTGCCGAGAGGCAATGCGGTCGACAGTACGGCATAGTCGACCCTCTGGCGTGGCCGCGACAACATTGACTCGAGCAGCGACCCCGTTGACCTCAATAAGCTGCAGGGCACGGGCACTCGTCCATTGGACAGGTGTCCACATGCCCGGGAAATGGTGCTGGAACTCACCTGAAAAGGAGAACGCTTCAGGGCACCAAGATTCGCCGGCCGGTATAGTGGTGAGCAAGGGCGGTTTTTCAGGTCGCAGCAAATGGACTGAAATCGGGAACATGAGCTGAAATCCGACCGCCCAAGGGGCGTGATGTGCAGCCAGACCATCCTGTAGATGCCAGGGCTCCACTAGTTCAAGTGGCTCATCGGGGTCATCTGGTGGATCATGTACATACACGACGTCCCCGTTGCGGAACCTAAACGCGGCAGGTGGCACATCAAAAAGTTCGCAGACGGCAAGCCCGTGGGGAAGAGACACACCCCCGACAGCACTATTGATATGTCTGGCCGTGAAGGATGTAATCCAGTCCACGGTCATCGTGCGGGGAACAAGTGTGGCCCGGTGGTGGCCCCGCCAGATAAGCATCAATGTGACCAAAGCTGGATCACGTCCAATTGGGACGATAGAAAGTTCATTGAATGCCGGCCCCGGCCAAACGGGGAAGAAGTCTTCCGCCCAACCCGGGTCATCATTGCGGAACTGCGCCCAGACTTGCGAGTGGGGGGTCTCCTGAGATGCCGTGTAGGGAGGGAAAACCCCTAAGAAGGGACTATGCAGGACTACATAGACTGGATCCTCGGCAGTTATCCCTGAGAATACACGGTTCGCCGAGTCGGTCCCCCATGGGAAGCCTCCAGGTCTGTGCATACTCTGGACCAGGCTGGGCAGAATGGCAGCAACAAGCCAGGTAGAGCCAGGGCGGCTGCGAAGGACCTGCACGAGTAAAAGAGAGGCCCAGAGAGATGGTGAGGCAGCTATGGCTGCGGATTCGTCAGCAGGGCTGGCATCGCGCTCGCCCGCACTCACCGTTCCTCCAGCAGCAGCAGGATCCCTGCTAGCTTGGCCTTGGTGGGACCGGCGGGGAACATGCCGCCTAGCTGAGAGGCAATCGCCGTTCCTAAACTGGACAACCTGTGTGCCTTCCTGGACCTCAGGCGGTCGAAGGTCATATTCAGTGCCATCCAAGCGCAGGGCCCTGAGGGCAGCGATATCAACAGTCGCGGGGAGGCAGCAGGGAATTAAGCGGTGCTCAATAGCGACCCCTACAGCTACGTTACCGGCCGCCTGAGGACAGCCAATGAGATGAACTGCCCTGGCATCGGGCTGGGGCTGGAGGAGCACCAGACCTGCCCAGCCGCGGCCTCTAGCATGACCCTCGAAGAGGACGAAGGGGTTAATTTCGGGGCCCGCTGAATACTCGACCAACTCACACTGCTGCCGTGCGGTAAACGGGTTATGGATGCAAAAGGGCGTGCCGAGTGGGATCGCGGCTGCCAGTGTTCGGATCCCGCATCGAAGGCCTTGGAGGTCAGCCTGGACCCTCCGCACCGTATCTTCATCGGCTGCAGGTTCCCTATCTACCGTGGAGGGCCATTGTCTCAAGGCATAATCCTCAAGTGGCCTCGCCGCGCGAAGAAACATCATGTGGGGTTGGAAGGGAGCATTCACCGGCTCTGGCGGGGGAGGGCCGGCCGGTCGCACAACAGGTGCGGGGGCCCAGTCCGCTGCTGACATATTAGTGGCCTGCACAGCCGGAGGGGCAGTATCATTAACCTGCTCTTCCTCAGAGCTAGCCTGCGGTGGTGTAATGATGGACCCCGAGTTGAGGGTAGCAAGAACAAGGAGACTCCCAACCGCCCCAAGGGCGCGAGGCACCTGAACGCCAAGAAGAAGCAAAGCTGCCCACGGCAGTCTGCACACAGCCTGAGAACCTGCTGCATCACTGAGATCCAAAAGATCAGCCGTAGAGGTATCAGCCGCGCATGCACTCTGGGAGGAGAGTCTCAAGACAGGTGGATTGTCGCCTGCCGGCTCGGCATCAGGCTCGGCGAGGCCGGCCCAGAGCCGAGCAGTGTGGAACGAGAGCTCCTGGGAGAGGTGATGCACCCTGGAGACAGTGGCATGATCAAGGCCAGTGCCATTTCCGGAAAGGTCGGTTTGAACACCTTGATCAACCAGAGGGGATTGCAGAGCTCCGGCAGCCAACCTGTTGCCATGACCATCCAGAACAATGGCCGGTTCAAGCGCAGGGCCGCGACTGGGAATGTGACGAAAGTAAGGACTCTCAACAACGAAAGGCTCCGGGTTCCAGGGGTCATCGTCACCAGGTAGCCGCTCAAGGGCCCCGACTAAAATCTGGATAATAGCGCCCGAGGGGAAGTCCGGCAAAACCGTGCCAGGGGCATAGAACTGGCCAGCATAAGCAAGTGTGGGGCACCGCTCCGGCAATTGGCCACCTTGAAACAGAGTGCGGAGGTGAGCATAGACAACCTCCCAATTGAAGGGCGAGTGACCGAAGGTGACGACCGCCGCGGCGCCCCAATGGAGGAGCCAGAACCTGGCCGTAGGAAGGGTTGGAGGTACAACAGGCACAAAGAGAACGTGCTGAACAGTACCCCCTTGCTGGGAGTGAGTGGAACGGAACTCCCCCGGATCCGGAATATGGTGGAGACGGCACATCAACTCACGGAGCCACCGGGTCTGATACCCCTGGGGACGCCAAGGCAGGTCGACTGGCTGCGGCACATTTAAGGTCCAGATGCGCATGGTGGACGGTGTGGGAGCAACCTCAGCAACCGGTACAAGTTGATGCGCCTGCGGTGGTTGCATCGCAGCCGCATGAAAAGTTAACAAGAGCATTGCAAGGTGACCAAGAACCAAAGGCCCTGCTTTGGCTGCAACAATCAGCAGCGTGCCATCGATCACCTGACCAATGAGGCCGGGCAGGGCACGCGAGATCAAAGCTCTAGCCCCATGCGGGCTCGGAGACATTTGTCGGACTTCGGCTGAGGGCTCAACACTAAGAACAACCCCGTCGGGCTCGACTGTGCAGAAGAAAAAGGAGCAGTGCGAAGTATAGTGCTGGATGACCGGCCGAAGCAACTCGCACCCAATAGAGTCCCTCAGGATCCACCACGCCACAGGAGAAGGAGGCGCGACGACCAGGTCTAGGACCTGAGGGTTGGAGTCGTACGCAACATGAAGACCGTATTCGCAATCGGGCAGGAAAGCACCCAAGTAGGCGCTGAGGTGCATGTCCATGTGGCGGGCACCGACTCGCATGTGAACCGGACCTTGGCCTGGCAACCACAAATGGATTTGGACCTCAGGCCACGGCGAGGTGCATTCCACATAAGCGCCGAGTTGAGGGGCGGCAACCGCAAAGCCATAAGTCTGACGCCCTAGCTCATGAGTCCAGGAGAGGGTGCAGGTCCGCGTATAGTCTCGCCGAGGAAGCAGAGGATCATCGGCTCCCACTCGCGAAGTGAGGGCAGTTGACGTGATCGCGAGCTGCACAGATCCCGCTTGCATGGCGAAGAGAAGAAACCCCAGCCAAGGCTTACCCTTACTAAGACAAGCTAAGCCAAGTGCAGCGGAATGAGAGGCAGGAGGAGAGGGCGGTGGGCTGGGAGAAGGTGCTGTGCAGTGACGCAGCAGTTGCGAAACGCCCTCGGGCGAATCATATCCTACACTAACGCACTTCCTGGTGACGTCCGCAAGATCCCGAGGGTACGGCCAGACCTGATTGTTATCAGAGAGGAAGGTCTGGGGAAGTTCCCACAGAGAGAGGGAAAGTGCTCGAGTAACAGCTTCCCAAGTCGGGACAGGAGTGCACATTCCAACAAGGCGGCCGCCTTCCCTCAGTGCCCAGACAGTGAAACCTGGAATGCAGGCTACGATACATTTAATGTGCCAAGAATCACACCACAGGCTAACAAGCTCAGACGCGGAATCCGGCACAACTCCTGCCCCACATGAGGACGGGGGTGATTGCAACACAGCGGCCTGGGTGCTAGCCGTGATAAAGGGGGCATTGGTTTGAACACCCACATGTGTAACAGCTCTCGCCCGAGGCGGGGGCAGCACAGAAGGTTGCCGAATGGCGCGGGGGTGCCCAAAGAAATGCACAGCGTGGCGCCGCGCCCGCGCGAAATCGGCTTGCACATGGACATACCAGAAGTGGCAGTCGTCACGGGTAGGAATGGTGGTGCATTCCCAGGTGAGCACAGAGAGACCAAAGGTGCGCAGGCTGCGGAGGAGCCCGGCGGCGGGCCGCCCGCTGCTGAGGAGACTCTCCAAGAAGGCAGAAAAGGAGTCAAATACTCCAGAGAATGCAAGAAAGAGCCCCGGGGCCGTCGGGACAGAGGCGTCAGTAAGACGATAAATGATGCAGTCTTGCCCCGAACTCACTGCAGCAAACGTGGCATGGGGAAGGGCCCCGGTATCGGGAATCTCGATGAAAATGTGCTTCCCAGGCAGGACCTGCCGCAGGAGGGCATGAAGAAGGGCAGAATCGACCTCAGCCGCACGAGGCACCTCAAAGGAGAGGACGCCTTCTCCTGAGTGAAGCAGGGAGACGACACGCGTCTCATGCAACCATCGGGACGCAGAAGGGGCACAATGTGGCAGAGTGAAGGCCGAGACATCAAAAGTTTGGGCAGCGGAATTAACCACAACCTTAACAACATCGCCCTGTCTAAGCCTATGGGCCGAACCCTTAAGGATTTGAATGTCGGTCGAATCTGCTGCACCTTGCGCGGCTGCCAGGACCTGTTCGGCAGAATAATCAAGGGGAAGCTCAACGCATACGATCTCAACCCCAACATCAAAAAGCACGGTCAACGTAGAGCTCCTAGGTGGCAAGGTGACTAAGTGGACCGCATCAAGTGTAGGTCCCGCAGAGGCAGCAACGATGTGGGGGCGGCCGAGCTGGATAGCTCGGCGATAGAGTTCCGCAGAGGACTCTCTGGCACTAGCAGTGTTGGCGAACTCAAGGCGAACAAAGGAGCCCGGGACCCACAACCGGCAAGTGATAGAGAAGCTAACCCCTGAGAGCGGGATCGTCTGCCACAGCGTCCCATCGCCGAAGTCCCCAACTTGAAGCCAAGAGGCCTGGAGATGTGCGTGGACCCCCGCGGGGGCAACAACATGACGGTCGGGGGCTCTGGAGGCTGCAACGACAAAGGCATGAGGGGAAGAGGGCTCACTACGGGTCTGAACAGCGGCACTAGACCACACTAACAGGAGTAGGGGAGTTAAACTCCACACAGAAAGTGCCCCGCGGCCGAGCGGAAGGTCATGAGTGAGCCAAAGGCCGATCAGGATGTGCTGCATCCACATAGCGGAAGACATCACAGCTGACCCGGCTGAGCTGGGCTCGGCAGCCGGCTCTGGGGGGCTTAAACCTGAGGGAGCCAGGAAAGCTTCAGGCGAAATCCCCGTGCATGCTGGAAGTGTGGCAGCGCGGGCAGGTGAAGGCAGCAGGGTATGCTGAAGCGCCGAAATGGTGTCTGACGTATCCGGGCCATCCCAGCCTCCAACCTGCTCCTCTGACGAAGAGGAGGAGTCCTGACGGAACACATGTGGGAAGAACATGATGACAAGAGGAAAACTCCCCGAAATAACCTGATCAGGAAGAACCGCCAACTCCCTGTGCAGCAGCCCAAAACCCCCTCTAGCACATTGTTCGACCCATTCGAGGGGGAGGCTATTACGTTCCCGGGTCGAGGCAGCTGAAACAGCCGCGACAGCTGTGACTGGCGGGGCAAGACACACCGTAGTAAGACGCCACCCCACAGGCCGGAAATCCAAAATGCACGGCACTTCGTCGCCCACGCAGTGGATTTCCAGAAACTGGACAAGTGGCAGGGAAGGGAGAGGATGCCAAATGCGCATGATTCCTCCAGTGGCACTGGCTGAGGCCCGAGTCGAGACGATGCGCCTAAATGTGGCTGCGTCCGCAAAGACCGGGGCTTCGACATAGACCAGGCCATTCGGGGTGATGAGGATGGCCTGGTTGTGTGAGTGACCTGGGAAAGCCTCTTGATTGAGTGGAGCGGAGGGCAAACTGACCTGCATGGTCGAAAACAGTGACAGTGGAGGGTCAAGTGAGGCACCTATAGGCCCTTCCAGCGCTCCCGTAGACGGCCCGAGCTGGAATTGCAGAGTGTCAACATCTTGCAAGAAAAGGGGCTGGGACACAAGAGTCAACCAGCCCCACGGGCATCGAGCAAGGAGAAGGTCGACCTCAGTTTGCAAGGATTGGGCGGAAAGGGCAAGTTGGGCAATGGCTCTGCAAGTAGAGTCACGAGGGCACTGAAGCATACAGATACGGCCTCCGATTTGACGCAGATCCACAGGCAGCCACACTTGTCGCCAGGAGCAGGCAGCGGGGGTCAGAAGAATTTGCTCACCTGGCAGTCCTGGGAGGACACCCCGGACAGCAGAGGCAGAGAACACCCCAGAGGGAAAGCCCAGCGAAGCTGCCAACCTAGCGTGAAGAAGAGGACCATGCAGCCATTCATCAACCAGGAGAGGGATAGGACACGGTTCCAGGATCGGAGCGCCGGGAGGCGTACCCACAAAGACAGAAAGATGCCTTCGGTTCCGATCTGTGCGTGGAAGAAGTAGATTCCCCGTACGCCCAACCGGATAGACCTCGCACATCTCCTCCACGGTCGGGGTGGGGAGGACAGGTCCGGTACTGAGAACAGGCAGGCCTTCGTGAAATCCGTGGGCGTGGAGCTGCACAGCTTCAGGGGAATGCATGAAGCAAGAAGAGACAACCGCGGCCCCAAGGTTGAGAGTAGCCCCATCAGCAACTGAGAAGTACAGCATCAGCAGCGCGACGTGCAGGCCTGGGGCTGCATGCCTCTGAGGACGAGCCTTAACGCAGTAACGTGATCCTTGAACTTTACGACCAGCAAGTCGGGAAACCGAGCACAAAGCATGGTCATGTTCCCATGAGGAGGACGTAAGGGAAAGGCAGGCCCAAATCAAGGCCGCTGCAGATGAAGAGCAATGCTGCCAGTGTCTGTGCGCCCAAGTAGGGCCACATTGCCTCAGGAAGTCGGCCTGCACGGCAAGGTATGAGCACCAACTGCAAGGAAGCCACGCCAAGACACAGCGGAGAGTGCGGACCAGAGCAGGGTGGAGGGCCAAAAGCTCACTAGTAACCGCACAGAGTGCCATAGGGAAGGGCTGGCAGAAGGAGGCCGCGACCCACCACGCAGAAGCGGAACAGGTACTGCCAAGCTGCCACGCCCGAAACCAAGAAAGCTTGGGACCGTAGGCCGAAAGAAAAAGCGACGTGACTACACTGACTCTACGCAGGGCTATACACAGTAGCACACAGCGCCCGAGGAAAAGGCAGACCGTGGTAAGAGAAACTTGCGACCAAACGAAGTCTCTATTACCACAGCCCGCTGGGACAGCTGTGCCGGAAAGCCGATGCCGCTCGACAACATCAGAGGTCACTCGAGTTCGTTCTGGCAGGTGTCTGGTCCAACTGGCCTCATAGGCGAAGGCATGCGCAGCAAAACTTGTACGTGTGCATCCATTGAAGCATCCTTTGCCACAAACCCACGCAATGGCACCCCCGCTTCCAGGAGAAGGTCCGGAAACAACCATTCCTGAGCGGTAGAGGGGGCATATGCAAACGGGTCCCTGAGGTTCCCATTGGACAGGAGCGCAGCCACCAGCAGTCCCTGACGAACCTGTGGCAGAGCATTGGCGCATCCCCGTACACTGTGTAGAAATCCCTGCAGAGATAGAAAAAGCGATTGCAGGTCGGCATGAGCCGGGTCCGCCACAGCATTTCCCAACGCAGTCCAGACCGATTCGGCAGTGCGCAGAACCACATCCTGCGCTTGAGCATCCACAGTGAGCTGCATGGCCTTGTCTTGCTGGGGGCAGCAGCTGACTTCGCCCACCAAGTCGGCTCCACTGTCCACAGCGAAGCGAAGGAGAGCCAACCATGACACAACCCAGGCACTTTCTGTTGCAGTGGCCGGCAGTAGTTCTGGGTCGTCGTCGGCAACAGCAGTCTGGGCATCGCGTTTGAGGCCTTCGGGGGTACGTCCTGTGGCTTCTCCAGGCCACGGTGCACCCTCCAGGTCCCGACGCGGGCTTTTGGAGGGCCGATCGACATTGCCTCCGCTGCGTTTCCGCCATCGGCCACTTCGCTGACCGTCCATTCCGGAAGGGGCCTGGCTGGATGTGTTTCCCAAGGGCCCAAAGCTCATCTCCGAGCTGTGGTCGGCAGCATGGTCTCCAGCGGGCTGCTGAGGGCCAGAAAACATAGGAACATCCGAAGATGGTCCTGCTGCAGCTTGCATCCCGAGAAAGGGGCCGCCTCTGTGCACACTTGCAAGCCCTGGCACTGGACCGTGAGTCCCGAAGGCATGGCCAGGGTCGTGGAGAAGGCTCGAAGAGCTGCTGCCAAACGCTGAACCTCCACCACTTGGCCCTCGGACCACACTGGTCCCAGAGACTGGATCGCACGGTCGAGCTGCTCCTCCGTGGTCACAGAGGGTTGTGCCGCCATGACTTGGCGCATTTCCTCCACTGCAGCGACCGTATCCTCGTCCACTTTCCGGCTGAGAGCATCTACACGGTGGGCAAGGCCCAAAAGATGCTGTCCCATTGTAGACAGCCATGCCAGCAGCGCATCCTGAAGGTCCTTCTTGGCGCGGACATTGCCGTTCAACCGCCTCGACAGTCGGCCCAGGGCGTTTGCACTCCGCTGGGCTAGCTGTTCGACGGTGGCATTCTCGGCAGTAAAGGCTGTCTGGCTCCACAAGTCCTGTGTAGCCCTGGTCGCGATCGATTGTAAGGATTGAACCATCGAGGGGGGCAGTCCAAATTCGATCTTTGTAACCTGCGGATTGTCCGCTTTCTCTTTGCCCTTTCCTGGGCCGCCCTTCTGCGATGACTGGCTGCCAGCACCTCCTTGTTTGGGAGCCATGCTCCCGTGGTGGGTCGCAAGCAAGAGCAGCTGCGCCGCTGAGGAGCGCCCTTTTCTCACGGCCTTCCTGGCCTTGTGCCTTGCCCGCCGTTGACGCCGATGCCAAGCGGGACTGCGTGGGCGTCTCCGCGCCGTTGTCGTGCCCAAGCCAAAGCAGCCCCAATCCCAGCAATAAAAGCGGTAGAATCGGGAGGTACCTCGCCAGGGCAGTCATAAAAGGCCGCGCGGCCTGAGGGTTGGCTCAGTTAAGGCAGCAACCCAAAGCTTGGCCAGTGGCCAGCCACCACTCTGGAGAGCGCCTCCAGAAATAGGTCAGCCAATTGAACGGCAGTGACCCAAAGAAAAGGGGCGTACCAAGCCCCGGTGAGCCCACCCACGGGCAGCACCAAGCGCAGAGACTGCTGGGGTCCGGAATGGCAAGAGCGCACTAGAAAACTCCAAATTGGAGAAGCTAGCCGCTACCTTGCCTCGAGCCAGGACGCCTACTTGCCTACACCCCAAATCCCAGAATCCTTAAAGACTCCCCTAAGAATCCTCTACACCGCTCTCACAGCCCTTCTATAGCCCTAGAAAGACCAAAAGAGACCCGCGCTGCGTCCCCAAGCGTGCCAAGTGCCACTGGCGATCTCCGCATCGTAGGAGAACTCACTCAGAGCCTGGCCGTTCGAAGAGAGCCCAAGACCCCTTAACTAAGGAATGCGCCGTAGGTTCTAGGGGCTTTATATTATGATTTAGAATTTAGGACTAGGTTCCGTAGTTGGACGGTATTGGGGCTCGAAACCGACGGAAGTTCTCGCTTCAGATCCCTTCAATGGCTCCCCGAGGGATCTGTTAGAGTTCCCTACGCTTCATTCGGGGGTTTCAGAAACCCCAAACAGTTAAGCCCTACAACCTAAAGCCTGCACCCCATTGAGGTTAAAGGGCTTGCAGGGTCTATGGTTGGACTGAACCTTCAACTCAGCCAGACTAAGATGCGTGCGACTGCTTGAAAGCTGACGTCCGCACGGCTTGGGGCTTGGGGTTCAGAGTTTGGGGCTTCAGGTTTAGGGCTTGTGGGTTTAGGGAATAATGCTAGCTGCTAGACCCGCGACACTAGACGACAGTTGCTCGCATCATAAGATTCCCTGAACACTGCCTAACTGGGCTTTGAAGTAACCAGGGAGGAAAGACTTATAGACTTTCATTTCATAATGGTTCCTTTAAGGAACAGCTACCAAAAAAGTATTCAAGTATGGTACTCCAAACCCAGGTTAAGGGCTCAGGGAACGTAGTAAGTAGGGATATGTTTGGGGGTGTAGGTCCTCTCAGTCGGCTCACGTATAACCTGACTTACTAAGTCCCTTGGGCCTTTTTCTGTACACCCTACATCGTCTCTGATGTAGCTCAGGGGCTTCCCGGGTGCACACCCTCAGAACCAAAAGACGGAGGAAGCCAGTGGCTCCCAAACATCATTCATCGGATTTTGATCATTCGCTATGAGCCGCCCTGATTACTTTACGCATTCTGATCATTATGGCTGCTGTGAGAAATTATGACCAATAGCATCAACATGATAAGTATCCTGAAAAAGGGCACCTCGAACCAAGGCACATTATTCAATGGGGACGCAAGGTGTTAAACCCTGAACCCTGAAGCCTATGCCATGTTGCGGCAGGCCTCTTGCACCAGTTGCGACCACAGCGACGCCCGCAGAAAGCCTGCAGAGTTGGCGAACTTATGAACGAAGCCTGAAGAGAGGGGAGCAGGGGGAAGAATTTAAAGAAGATCATCTAGCGTAGGGAGTCCAAATGGGCATTCTGGAAACGGGCCAGATCGCTCGATGCCTGAAACCCGTAGTCCGAAGAGCCCTCAGCCTTAAATCTCTGAAACCTGAGCCCTCAACCCTACATCCCCAAACCCCTAAACCCCTAAACCCGAGCCCCTAAACCCCTAAACCCCCAAAACCCCTAAACTCCTCAACCCGAGCCCCGAAACTCCTGCACTCTGAACCCCAAAAATCCTAGAGCCCCATGCTCGCCAAGGCACTGGTGGCATCTCGGCAGATGAATGGAGTTCGGATGATGCACATCAGAAGGGCCTGCAGTGTCGGGTTTGGGGCCTAGTTTAGGGTTCAGGGCTTAGGGTTTAGGGAGTGGTGCAGTTTATGGTGTAGGCTTTTCAAAAGGCTCTTTTCCCATCTGCAAGCATGGTGTAGGTTTCGTGCTTAGGGTTTAAAGCTTAGGGCTTTAGGGGGCGGCCCGATAACGAACAATCGCAAGCCAAAAATCAAGAAGAGGTGGCTCCATTCCTCAAGCATGACCAAGGGCTTAGGGTTTTAAGTTCAGTGTTTGGAGTCCCTAAACCCTAAACCCTCAACCCTACCTTTTTGAAACCCTGAGCCCGACAGCCTGAACATGACATACCGTTGATGATTCAAATCCTAGGGTTCCTGTAAAGGAGTCTTTTAGGGTGCCTTTAAGGGGCTCCTTTAAGAGAACCTTTGGGTTTAGGGTTGATGATATATATCCTGCATTACCTTAAGGACCCTAGACTACGGGAATTATGGTATATTCCTTATTACGACTAATGCAGGATTTATATCATTCCCATAATAAGGAATATACCATAATTCCCATAGTTTAGGATCCTTACGGTCATGCAAGGTTTATATCATCAACCGCATTAAACCTCGAGCCTTTCAAACGAACCTCAAACTTCCTGTAAGCGGGTTCAACCTTGTAGAGCCAGGTCAACAAACACACACACAGAAGAGATAAGAAACTTGGAATACGACTGAAGCACAACATGAACCAATGCAAAAAATGAAAACTTCATGAATACGGACCATAGATCAGAAACCAAACCCTAAACTCCACTTAACCCTCAAACTCTTGCCCTAATCCCTAAACCCCACACCCGAAAGACTGAAACTCGACCCCAAACCCCAAACCCTCAAACCCCAAACACTAAACCCTAAACCCCCCAGCACTGAGACATACTGAGACTCGACCCCAAACCCTGAACCCCAAACCATCCTAGACCCCCCTGAACCCCCAGCACTGAGACTCGACCCCAAACCCTGAACCCTAAACACGAATACCTAAACATCCTAAACCTTTGCAGCACTGAGTGAGACTCGACCCCACCCAAAATCCCAGACACATGGGAGTTTCCGAAAATAGGGGACCCTAATCTAGTACCCTATATATTTCCCCAAACCCTAAACCCTGGGAAACTCCCACATAAGTCGACCCCGGGCCTTCGGCTGCATAAACCTGGGCAGCAGGCAGAACCGGTTTAGGGGTTTAGGGTTTAGGGTTTAGGGGTTTAGGGTTTAGGGTTTAGGGTTTAGGGGTTTAGGGGTTTAGGGTTTAGGGGTTTAGGGTTTAGGGGTTTAGGGTTTAGGGTTTAGGGTTTAGGGTTTAGGGAACCCTTAAACCCTACTTAAAGGATCATGGGACTTAGTAACTAGGGTAATAAAGAAATAAACTATACTTCTAATGACTTATAATCCCAATTAGGGGACTTATAACCGTACTTGCTAAGTCCCCTGATCCTCCAAGTAAGGGGTTCAGGGCTTTGGGGTTTAGGGCCGCCCCCACCCTTTCCGAACCCCGAAACCTGATTGAAAAAAGCGAAGAAGAATAATAGTAGTTAGTAACATCACTATTCATAATTAAAAGATAGTAGTAGTGGTAGTAGTAGTCATAATGTTAATAATGAAAATAAAAACAATAACAATAATAGTAGCAATAGCATTAACAGTAATGGCTTGGTTGAGGGCTCAATTCTGCTTTGCGATTTACGGGGTGAGATGTTGTAGCTGGCACTGTCCACTATTTTTTTTGGCCTGCACTTGACAGCGCGGGACCCCCCAATGCTGCAGAAGAGGCAAAGTGAGATGTTCGTCTTGGGGGTTTGAGGTCTTCGTTTAGGGACCGTATAAACACATCACGAGAACCCAATAGTTTTGTGCTCCGGGGTTTGAGGGGGTGCAATATCAAAACCTCCATAAAAAGAAGCGAAGACGAATAGTAGTCGTAACGGTAATGATACCATCAATAACAGTCATAATATCAATACTCATAATAAACACAAAAGTAATGGTAATAACAATAAACACATAACGACATACTACGAACAGCTTGATACAGGGCTCTTGCTTTTTTGTGAGGTTTTGGGAGTGCTCTTGGGATTTGAAGGGACCTCGGTGGTTTGGGTGTAGGCTTCTTACAGGGCTCCCTAAAGGGATCTGTAGGGTGCCTTAAAGGGATCTATAGGGTTTAGGGTTGTTTAAGGTCTACGTGAAGAATCAGGGGAGTTCGTAAGTGAGGTTCTAAGTTCCTTATTTGGGGGCCATAAGTAAGTATAAGTGTAGTTCCCTCATATACATATATATATACATACAAATTGTGACTAACCCTGGTTATACTAAGTGCCATGATCCTTTAAGTAGGCCGCGCCACACATCGTCCTGCCGGTGGAACACGTAGTTCACTACCTGCGTAGCGCATGCGATATGTCCGTTTACCCAAAAACCCTACACCCTGAGCCCCAAAGCCCCCAAACCCTAAACCTTAAACCTGAAACCCTAAACCCTAATCCGCTATAGACCCCTTGAGCGGCCTTGAAGCAACCTTGAAACCCGAGGTCCGGCTAATGGAACAACCCCCAAATTTCAGAGTTTGAGACTCCCTTAAATAAGGACCCGCAGGTATATACCCTTAATATAGCTATTATGTACCCATTATAGCCCATTATAGGGTAGGGGTCCCCATTAAGGGTCCCTCCTTGTCCCCTTTGAGAGACGAAACCAAGACCGGGTTTGGCGAGAAACGGCTTCGGGGGATGACTTCCCCGGATTCTTATGATAAGATGAGAAATGGGAACCCAAAGCGAAGTATATTGCTAATTATTTCGTCAGACTTCTACACTTAGGTCGTTAAACCCCAACCGCCCCTCCAAAAAAAAACTAAACCCCTGAATCCTATATACACCTTGCCTTTATTGCAGTGTGACATGGACGGATCAGGAGACTTCGTGAGAAAGGTTATGAGATTTATGAGTAATGCATACCTTCATTTCGGTGACACGTAGCTCTAACATATATATATATATATATGCGTAGTTACCAAACTTCGAAGCCCAGTTCCTAAGTTGATTCTTTGGTCGACCCTGAGCAGCTTCGCTTTCCAACACAAGGGTCTGAATCATTAGAAACCCTGGGGTCTATAATATAGGAGCGCCAATAGTTACCTTTAGCATTTTTTTTGGAGGGGGGTCCTTGATATAGTTATAGTACCATAGGTCCCAAAACCCCTTGAAAAAATTAGTAAGGCCCCTGGTAAAGGGACTCTCAGGGGATGGTAGGGTACTACTTAGAGGATCATGGGGACTTAGTAAGTAGGTTATACTTGGGGTTATAAGTCCCCTAAGTGGGGTTATCCTAATTATGACCTACCTATAACCTTACTTACTAAGTCCCATGAGCCTTCAAGTACGAACTCTTCGGAGCTCTTCATCAAATCGCCCGGAGCCTGAGACCCTGCACTCTCGCATCCCGAGCTGAAGAAGAAACTTGACAAAAGCGAAAAGCCAGTAAGCACCTCGTACTTGGAGGATCAGGGGACCTAGTGAGTAAGGTTATAAGTCCCCTAATTGGGGCTGTAAGTCTTCTAAGTATAGTTACCTTACTTAGAACCCTAGTTACTAAGTCCCATGATCCTTTAAGTAGCAAGGAAAACATCCGACGCCCCTCCCAGGCTCTAAGGTCCATAAGTAGAAACAGCATATAGGCTGAGTTGTCAAAACTATGAACCCTTTTTGGGTACCCTGAACAAGGTGCCGTATTATAAGAGGGACCCAAAAAGGGACCCGAATTTTGACAAGCAACCAAAACAAACCATCAATAGCAAAGAACATCGAAGCACTCTCAAGAGCCAAGCAACCCTCAGGACTCCTCGCAAACTTTGTGGCACAAAACATGGGCAAAGCACCTTGAAACCCAAAATCCTCAAACCCTTGAATGCCAGATTCCTAAACCCCTAAACCCTAAAACCCGAAAAGCAGTTACCCCCCACAAGCCGAACGCCAGACTGGCCCTAAAGAGCTTGGCCCCTTTTGGATTTCAGTCCGTCGCCGCAAACCCCGCAGAGCCCTTATGCAAGCCTCTTTTAACCCTACAAACACCCCACCTATTTCGAAACCCTAAACCCTAAACCCTAAATCCGAAACCCTAAACCCTAAACCCGAAACCCGAAACCCTAAACCCCAAAACCCATCAAAACTCGAAAAGTCCACCTTCGGCGCCCCGGGGAGACGCCGGGGCAGCGTCGGATTCGGCGACGGCGCGGCCTGTGGCTTGGCATTTCTATCCTACATTTTTAAGGTTCCTTTAAGGGTTTGGGGTTTAAGGTTCTGTAAGGGTTTAGGGTTTTAGAGGGTTTGGGGTTTAAGGCTTTAGGGCTTTAGGGTTCCTTTCAGGGTTGAAGGGTTTCGGGCTTAGGGTTTCTATCGTAGGGTTTGGAGCATACTTAGAGGATCGTGGGACTTAGTAAGTAGGTTATAACTGGGGTTACAAGTCCCCTAAGTGGGGTTATCCTAATTATAACCTACTTGTAACCTTACTTACTAAGTCCCATGAGCCTTCAAGTAGGGATTAGGGTTTGGGGCTTTGGGGCTTGGTGACTTCAAGGCCCATGGCTTTAGGGTTTCAACGCTTTAGGAGTTTAGAGTTTAAGGCTCAGGGTTTTAGGGGATCAGGCTCAAGGGTTCTGGGTTGAAGGCTCAGGGTTTTAGGGGATAAGAGGGTTCTGGGTTTAAGGCTCAGGTTTTTTGAGGAGTTGAATCTTTTGTGGGTTGGGGGGGGGGGGGGGGTCCAGGGTTTAGGGTTGGCGGGTTTGGGGTCGCGAGTTTCAGGCTCCAGGTTCAGGGCAGCGGGGGGAAGAGCTGCCGCAGTCTGTGGAGACCGCCGGATGGCCATGCAAAGGCCTCCTAAACCCTAACCTACTTGTCGGGTATCATGGGGAAACTAAAGGTTCACCTTTTTGCTTATACAGGGGTTATATAGGGATTATACTACCCAAAAAAAGGTTAAAGGTTAACTACTCTACTACTAGGCTAAACCGCAGAATCCGAACAGCCCAATACCTCGTAACGAAGCTAAAGTGCCACAAGACATAATCAGAAGCCCTAAGTTGTTGAGGGAACCTGTCTTCCCACAAAATCTTGAGCTCTTTGGCTGGCGCGACACAAGCTCAACTTCAGTCACCCTAAACCCTCAACCCTAAACTTCACCCTCAACCCTCAACCCTAAACTTCACCCTAAACCCTCAACCCTAAACTTCAAACCCCAAGTCCCCAAACCCCGAACAGCTCAGTGTCTCAGGTTAAGGGGCCACAGAAATTCCCACCAACAGGGGGAAGAAATGAAAGGGTTTAGGGTTTAGGGTTCGAAACCAGAAAAGCAAACATTGACACAAGCTTTGTGCCAAGCCAGCAACGTCTGCAGAAAACCTGCCCGAGAACAAACCCCCTTCCTCAAACACGCAAAGCCCTACACAGTAAAGCCGAAAAACAGCCCCAGAACCCTTTAGCCCTAGCCTAGAGCCCTGTAATCCCTGGATGCGAAGCCACCCTACGATTGATAATATAATAAGGAATATGCCATAATTCCCATAGTTTAGGGTCCTTAAGGTAATGCAGGATTTATAGAATCAACCGCAGTACAGACAAGAAATCTCTAACATTCTGATATCCTTGGAAGCCCCCGGTGTAAGAGAGCAACGACCCATAAAACCCTAAACACTAAACCTAAACCCTAAACCCTAAACCCCTAAACCCTAAAGCCTAAACCCTAAACTGGAAGGACGGACCCCGAAGTTTGAGGATCCTTTTCACTACTCCTTTTGTCACTTCGTAAAGGGGCCCCGAACTTCAAGAACCCCAACAAAACCAAAAAGCCTGAACCCCCTTGTTTAGGGGTTTGGGCTTCAGGAGTTTACTTAAAGGATCATGGGACTTAGTAACTAGGGTTATAAATAAGGTAACTATACTTATAATTACATATGACCCCAAATTATGGTACTTATAACCTTACTTACTAAGTCCCCGGACCCTCCAAGTAGGGTTTAGGGGTTTAGTGGTTTACGGCTTTGGGGTTGACCACAAAGAACCCCCATGGGGGACGCCACCTTCATGTCGAGGTCCTCCGGAATGAACGGGTTCCTTCGTGCACGTGGCAACTCGAGCTTTGTTGTTTACCTACTTGTCGGGTATCATCGGGAAGTAAAGGTTAACCTTTTTGGTTACATAGGGATTATATAGGGACTATACTACCCAAAATAGGTTAAAGGTTACCTACTCGACTACTAGGTTTAAGGTTTTAAGACGGCATGCGACATTTTTTAGGCCAAGGACGGGCTTTAGCTTGGGGTCGCTGTTGGGTTGCGGTTTGATATGAAAAAACCATGTTTGCGATCTTGGGTTGGGAGTAGCACATACCAGTTGCGAACGCCAGCTGCAAGGGTGACGGCGTGACCGGGTGACGGGTCTTTGTCGATTGCTGCATGGCAGGCTCTGGCCTAGGAGCTTTCGGTCACGTGGCTTGAGGGTTTAGAGTTCAGGGTTTAGGTTTATGTAGGGTTTAGGGTTTAGGGCTCAAGGTTTATATAGGGTTTATATAAGGTTTAGGGTTTAGGGTTTAGGGCTCAAGGTTTATAGAGGGTTTATATGGGGTTTAGGGTTTAGGGTTGAGTCCAAACCAGCAGCGGCACGATTGGAGTTGTGACTTGTCCCCTTGCCCAACATACCACGTCGCCTGCAACTGCAAGCTCAGTTCGGTTGGCATGGCGATGATGAGGTTTAGGGGTTTAGGGGTTCAGGGGTTTAGGGTTTAGGGTTTAGGGTATGTCCAAAAAAATCCCGGTTCTATTGCGTAGCATGGGAGAAACCCTCGAATTATCATAGTCCTGAATCAGAGACCCGTCACCTAACCAGCTTGAACTGTGCATCCCAGTACAAAGCTTAGGGCGTAGTAGGGTTAAGGGTATAGGGCGCAGGGCTTGGACTTTTGTGGCTTTAGGCTCAAGGATCATGGTGAGGTGTTGAGGGCGTCCTACCACAAACCCCAAGGCCCTGAACCCAAACAACGACCCAGAACCTGAAACCCCAAACCCGAAACCGCGAACGCGACCCTAAACAGGAGTCTTGAGAAAGACTGCTTTGGCAGCTTACACTCCGAAATGTACAAGTTGCATGAAAGTCACTAGAGCCTACCCGAAACCTTAAATCCCAAACCTCGCAACCTAAACCCTAAGCCGGAGTTATGAGTGTTACAAGTGTCCCTATCAGCTCAAACAGCCCCGAAGCACAGAAGAGGCAACTTGTCACTAAGGGCCTAGGCTTCAGGATTCGGGGTTTAGGGATTTAAGATTTCGGCCTCGGGTTTCAAGGGTTTTGGGCTTGGGGCTTAGAGTGCAGGGCTTTGGGGTTAGGATGCAGGGATTAGGGTTTCGGGTTTAGGGTTTAGGGTCTAGAGTTTAGGGTTTAGGGTCTAGGCTTTAGGGTTTAGGGCGTCTCGCCGCGCAGCGGCAGTATTTTCTATGTAGGATGGCGCCCCAACACTCCCAGGGGTGTGGGGGGGCGGCATATCGACGTCTAGCGTTCGAATGCGATTCCACCACCAAACAATTACACATTGGTTCCTCACCTTTTCCCACCCGCTGTGAGAATACACAGGCTACCACCCAAAACATTGCCTTTTAGGGTTTAGCGCTCACGCCCTCAATTCCCACCTGCCCCTGGTCTGTCTGTTGGGGCCAGAAGCACACTGGCCAGGTAGAGAGCCAGGGGGGCCGAGGGGGTGAGGGAGGGTCCAGGGGGGGCCAGGGGCCAGGGGCCAAGGGGGGGCGAGGGGGGGCCAGGGGGGGGGGTCAGCGAGGGTCAGGTGCCAGAAAAGGCAGAAAAGACGCCAGGTCTCCCCTAAGGACCCCCCAGGAGCCCCCCGGGTCCCTGGAATCTGCCAGCTCAGAGCCCCCTGGGCCGGCTTCTGGTGCCTTTTCTGAAGGGGGGCCAAAGGGAAACGCCCACCGGGGTTTAGGGTATTCTAATCTCTTGAGAATCGAGGGAATTCCCTCTGCGAATATGGGCGCCACGCAAGGGGCCTAATGGCTTGGCTCAGCCCTAGGGGCTGAATTCGACCATTCTCCAATGGCTCCACCCATTGTCCATCCAGAGTTGGTGTCAATCACTGCCGGATTTCCTTCTGGGTCCAGGCACCCTAAGAAAAAGGGTGGGTACGGCCTAAGCAGGCCTGGGTGGGAATTTAGGGTGCAGGGCTTCGGGCTTAAGGTGTAAGGCCTAGGCTTTGGGCTTAGAGCTTGGAGTTCATGTTGAAGGAGTTTCCCGAGCTATGAACAGATGAGTTCTTGTTACCATATGGGAGTTTCCGAAAATTAGGGGGGTATCTTGTGTTGGGGTCCTTACAATAAGGATCCTACTATTTAGGGTACTATATTAGGGTACCCCCCCATGTGAACATTTTGAGCCGCTCTAGCTCAGAAACAAGCCTAAGCAAACACGGCTGGTCTGAGTGTTTCGGAGTTAAGGGTTTAGGGTTTAGGGTTCAATGGCTGACTGAAATTTCATGAAGCGGCGACCCAGCATCATCACTCGTGCGTCGACTCATCGAAAGCCTCTTGAAGGATCCTCAATGCCGGCTGGAACTCGACCCCCTGTGCCCACAACTGTGCCCACAACTGGGCGGCCGCTTTGTTGATGTGGTATTGCCTTCGCCGGCACTTGTAGCGATCCAGCAAACTCCTCTCCAGCCTCTCGGGCACCAACCGAAGCCTGTTCGGAGCCTCAGGTCTTTCACCCACAATGGGTCTGAGTCTGACATTGGGTTCTTGTCTAGGAATGCTGCCACAATCAGGAAATCATGGTCTCCAGTATAGATCCCTATTCTGGTAACTTAGAATAAACTCCTTCACAAGAAACCGGGAAATCCCGAAAAGGCATATATCTTGGCGATTGAAGATGCGACGTTGCGGGGCTCATTTCAGACAGATACTCTGTTCATAAACACGAGTTCCAGGATCTTGGCGCCTGTACTTTGTCTTCTGACAGAAACTCATAAAAGTTTCCAAGACAATTCAGAGTTATTGGACTTTCTGGCAGCCCTGATCCCTAAGACGCACAATCAAATCGTAAACGCAAAACCATTCAAATCCTGAGCACTGAACCTCAAATCACAAACCCTTCTAGAAAGTCCCTGAAACCCCAAACCCCTATAGTGCCCTTATAGTAGCCCTAAAAGAGCCCTTAAAGGAACCCCCAGACCTTCGTAACAACATACTAAACCCTCCTCTCTCAGACCCATTTCACATTAGACCCCAAACCCTAAACCCCAAGCCCTAATCCCCAACCCCAGCCCCTGAACCTTAAACCCTGACCCTCAATTTGTCTTCCCCAAACCCCAAACCCCCAGCCCGACCCTAAACCCTAACCCGTAAACCCTAAACCGTAAACCCTGACCCCTAACCCTAAACCCCAATCCCTAATCCCTAAACCCCCAAACCCCTGAACCCCAAGCTGTAACCCCAAACCAAGGACAGTCCAAGAGGCGGCGAGGGCAGACGCAACTTCGCAGATGCAGCGAAGGCCGTCGCGGCCTCAGCCGTGGCGCCTCCACGTGGGTTTGGGCTTTAGGGTTCAGGCTTTAGTGTTTAGGGTTTAGTGTTTAGGGTTTAAGGTCTCGATCGCGGGATGTGGCTTTGGCTCTAGGGCTTTAGGGCTGTGGGCGTGGGGTTCAGCGTGTAGGGTTTAGAAGCTACGGTTTGGGAGCGTAGAGTTTGGCCTTTGGAGTATGAGGGTTTGGCAATAGATCGGCTGGTGCTGTTATAAGTTATAATGACTGATATAGGGGCCTTAATAATTAGAAGAGGGTATTGGTGCCCATTATACTATATTCATAATAAGGAACCCCCAAAATAGCATAGGTAATTGTTACGGCCCCTATAGATTGGTTCTAAGATTTAGGGCCCTTCCTCACATAGCTCTGCGTGCCGCAGCTGTGGCCTGGGAGCTCAAAGAACGACATGAAGGAAATTCAGCACACGAAAACCCTTGTTTGCTCCGATAGGGACAAGCACCCGACAGTGTCTGTAGTCTCTCATCCAGTGCCCGTGGTGCATGAAGGGGGTCGCCTTGGTGATCACCTTTTTCGGCGACACCGGGGAGCTTTTCGGCGGCGTCACAGGTGTCCTTGAGCCCATCTTCTCGGCGCCACCACCGCCTCAAGGTCGACGTCCAGAGCTCGTGCCCGTTTTGGTGGCACCACCACGACCACCACCATCTCCGCTGCTGTTGCCATAGGGTGCTCGGGGCTACTGAGCTACATGGGTATTCAAGGACTCGAAGGGTATAAGACTACAAGTGTTTTCTATACTAGCGAGAGCTATTTTGCCGCACAACTCAGCATGTAAGGGCCTCGTCGGCTTTCGATCCTCTCAATCCTTAACCCAAGTCCCATAAAACAAGTGAGCCTCTAAACTCCCGAACCCCCGAACTCGAAGACTCTAGTGTCTCCCTCTTGGGGTAGTCCGACGGGATGCCCACGACAGGGATAGATGGTAGGTTTAGGCTTTGGGGTTTAGGAGTTTACCGGTTGAGGGTCAAAACTACACTGCCGAAATCCCGCCGAGTCTTTTCGAAAACCGAGAGCCTTGGAAACAAACTTAACTTGGCTTGTTTATCAAAACCCTATGAGCCCCACCCCTTTAGAACCCCCTTTGGAAAAGCCTTCAAATCCCTAGAAAACCCCATAAAACCAAACAAGAACCCAAATAACCCTATAAACCCCTACACATCTCCTACCAAACCCCATAAACCATGTAAAGACCTTCTGTAAACACCCACAAAGCCCCGCGGTTAGAATCCATTAACGGCCTATCAAAAACCGATTAAAACCCATTGAGATCCAGCACCGACCCATTAAAATCCTATTCCAAAACCCCTAACCCCTAAACCCCGGAGCCCCTTCGTAAACCCCTAAACCCCCGAAAAACCCTAAACCCCTGAACCCCTAAACCCCTAAACCCTAAACCCCTGAACCCCTGAACCCCTTAACCCCCAAACCCCCAAACCCCTAAACCCCTGAACCCCTAAACCCCCAAACCCCTAAACCCCTAAACCCCCAAACCCCTAAACCACCAAAAAACCCTAAACCCCTGTGACCCCAAAGAAATCGCAGGCCTCAAAAGGTGGGATGAAGGTAGGTGTGATATTCCCAAATAAGATTACTTATATAAGGGACCCTTAATCCTACCTACCTTCATCCCACCTTCTGAAGCCTCCGAAGAAAGCAGCTCAAGCCTCGCAACCCCCAAACCCCCAAATCCCTGGGGTCCCCAAAGAAAGCAGCTCTTTTACCCTAAACCCTAAACTCTCTAAACCCTAAACCCTAAATCCTAAACTCTCTAAACTCTCTAAACCCTAAACCCTAAACCCTGAAAGCAGCTCAAGCCTCGATTCAGGGCTGCCGTCCAGCTTTGCCGCCACGCATCAGGAAGCTCCTGCCGGTGCTGGGGCCCTTACTTAGAGGATCATGGGACTTAGGGTTCCTTAAAGGGCTCCTTAAAGGGTTTAGGGTTTAGGGATCTATAATAGAAGGGTTCTATAGGGGGTAGTTTAGGTTACTTAGAGGATCATGGGACTTAGTAAGTAGGTTATAATTGGGGTTATAAGTCCCCTAAGTGGGGTTATCCTAATTATAACCTACTTATAACCTTACTTACGAAGTCCCATGAGCCTTCAAGTAGGCCTTAGGGACCTTTGAAAATCTGAAAGGGTCTACAGGGTGTACGATTTAAGGTTTAGGGTTTAAGGAACTTTTTTGGAGGGGCAGCCGGCCAGGTACACGGAAACTCGATCTGCAAAGGAGACAGCCGTTTATAAAGTTTAAGTTTGAAGGCTTATAGGGTTTCAGAATTTCGAAACTTTCCGTAGGGCTTATAGGGGTTGAGGCCTTTAAACGTTACCAAGCTTTAGGCTTCAACCGGTGTGCCGTTTAGGGCTTGAGGGCTAGTGGCCTTTGGTTTTGGCTTGGTCAAGTTTTGTTTCTGCAGAAACACCGCCATCCTATACTGCATGGCCCCATCATACATCAGGACACGTTGATGATGATCTGCCGCCCACGGTGGCTGCGATCACTGCGGCGTCGCGCCCTGCTGGAGCTGCAGCTTGGGGCGTCCCGGCTCCTTGTTCTTCAGTGGCCCCGGCGGGGACGGACTCGGCGAGGGCCGGGGAACCACTCCAGTTTAGAGCCCTGATTCGTGTACGGGTTTCGCCTCATCCATCAGTCGGCACGACACTTGCGCTCACATCCAGCGTGCGACTTCTCGTTCACCACCACCATCACGCCTTGTATTTGTACTGCATCCACAGTGCCGAGTTGGTCCTTTGGATCCACTACGCGCACAACTGCAGGGCAATTTCCTTTGCCCAGCGCTGCTCATAAGCGTTTAGGAATTTAACATTTAAGGTAAAGGTTTGGGCTTCCAGGTCCATGTAAACGGGTCTATAAGGCTTACGGCAGTAAGGTGTTGTGGAGTTTCGGGGAAGGAACTATCCGGGTTACTTTTACGTTTGCTCCTTGTGGTGATGAGGGCTTTGGGCTTAGGACGTTTAGGGTCCCTTCAAAGTTAAAAGGATCTGGATGGGTGACGACAAGGGTTTGGGCTCAGGTTGAGGGTTTGAGGGTTTAAAATCCGCGTACAAGGATCCATAAGGGCTACCAAGAATTCCTGAAAGACTTACTACATGGTTTAGGAGTTGGGGATTAAAGGTTTGGGCAGTGTGTAACAGGGTATTTGAAGGGTTGTTGGGTTCCCAGACACTCCAAAACTCCGTAAAGAATATGCCGCAGATTTTGTAACAGGAGCCCGAATATGATTTAATGTATATTCTTTACTTCATGGGTTTGGGGGGTCTCCGGGAATGCATCTTTAGGGGTTACTATAAGCACGATAAGGGTTACTTTAAAATTTTGGGGTCTGGGTTTTGGGTTTTTTTCTAAAGCTTCAAGACCTCGAACGTCCCCCATCCCGACATCCTCACACTTATAGCAACGCTTGTCGAACCTTTTTCACTTCCTGTAAAGAACAACATAAGCCCAAATCTTACAAGCCTGTAAATCAAAAGTGACAATATCCTTCCACCCAAAATCCTTAAGCCCCAAACCCTGTACTGTATGTCCGATAACAAAAAACCCAAAGGGTTTAGTGTTTACATGGTTTGGTTTTTAGGGCTTTAGGGGGTTTAGGGTTAAAGGTTTAGGATCAGCGCCGGGTTCTGAACGGCTTTAAGGTTCATTCGTCCGCTTCCCACGGTTTGGGTGTGTCGAGTCCCTCCTCCTTTCGAGCTACAATGGGGTCCTCTGTTTAGGGTTTAAGGTTTGCGTGGCAGCTGCCACATGTTCTCATTGAAGCGACTTGGACTGCTCGCACATGCACGGTTAAGCTGTCGCCTGCAGCCAGCTGACTGCTTTCTATAAATTGAGAGCCATCCAGAACGCTTCTGGATGGAACCCGGTTGCGCCGAAAGAAGTTAATCACAAAATAGTGCAGAACGTTTACAGCTAATTTCTGGAACACTTGTAGAAACCTTTTTATAACCTTGAAAGTTAACCTCATCTAACTTTTCCCAATCCTTACATAACCCTGATGATAAACCATATGGTCGCCCTTGTTCTAGGTTGGCCCTTAACCCCCCCACGAAAATTGTCTGCACACCGCTGAAGCGCAATAACGTATCCAAAGGCCCACCTAGTGCCCTTCCTGTCAACCCTAATGTAACTCTTCTTTATTTCTTGCTAGGGGAGATCTCACAGTTTTGGAATCGAAAAAGCAAAGCCATAACGGAGCTAAGCTTAGGAGTTAATGTTTAAAATTTTGGGAATTAAGGCTTGGGACTTAAGGCTTCCTTCCAAAAACAACTCCCGACAAAACCCTCACTAGTTTCAACCCTAAACCTCTAAACCCTAAACCCCTAAACCCTCAGGCTATGAATTGTCAATGATTTGATGATTTTTATGAAGACGGTTTTCATGGTCGATGTCTTGGTCGATGCTTTGTTCGATGATTTTTCGAAGATTCTTACAAAAGGAGACTTTCCTCGTCGATGATTTGGACGATGAGTTTTTCAAAAATAAATGCTTTGGCCACACCCAGTGCCTGGCTGTGGGATGGGTTGTTTGCGATCAACTACCCTTGACCTCCTACCAACCAAAACAAATATTCCAAAAACAACCACCCGCATTTCGCAGAAGGCGAACGCGGCTGAAGCCAGTATGTCCTCCTGGGCCAACTCCACTCCAGTGGAGTTTTGGAGGATCCTGTGGACGGTGTTCTCCGTGTGCCGGAAAACATCCGTCCAAGATGCACCCCGACGCACGGGGGACAGCTCCACCCTCAAGCCTGTGACTTTGCCGGGGCGAGGGAAGTCTTTGCCAGACCTATATGCATGACTGACATGAAAGAAGAAGCCAAAGTTTGTTACCAAATGCACACCAAAAACATATAGTCTTGTTTGTTTTGCAAGGAAGAAACTAGTTCGGAAACACTAACCCCCTATGGCGCGGAAGTTTCCCTGACCTTCGCGCCATCCACTGGTTGCTCCTCCCGCTTGTCATGACCATGTTGGTCATGCCGAGGGCCCTCAGGCGATGCACCCAAGCTCCTGGACAAAGTGTTGCTTTTTTTTAATGAATCTTATGATTTCAATTTGGACGAAGAAGCGAAAAGGGAAACGGCTATGTGACCCTTTCGAATTACACTGGTAGCGCCTTGTACACATAAATGTCGGAGGCATCGTGGTAGCCCTCGTGTATCCCGACTGCAGAGCGAACCCGCCGCCACCCAAACCAAACTGCCCCCACACACTGTAGTTGTACGTCTGAGTGGTGGGGTCGTCCAGCAGTTGGATGGCGGCGGTGGCAACACAGGCAATGGGATGTCCATTGCCACGTGTCTGGCACCCAAGGCCCACCTCACTACTTTCAGAAAGAGCCTTCGCCCCAATACAAGAAGACCTGATCTCCTACAACTTTGGGTAGCAGGTAGCCTGCTGGGCCGAATTCATCATGTCCTCGGCCTCGTCGCACGGGAGGAAACCTGTGCTTCGGAGGAGATGCAAGCGTGCGAACAGTGTGTAGGTACCTACAAATACGCACAACCATTTAGAGCTTCAGAAATCATGGAATATCAGCTTCAGCATCAAAGTCGCGACATCTTCTACAGCTCAAAGCATATGCTACTGGTCACGGTTTTTTATGTTTGTTGTCTTTTCTTAGTGTTATCATGAGCCTTATGACCAGTGTTATTGGCCTTACAAACCTTTATGACTGTTTTTCGTTCCTCTTAGCATGGCACATAGTGAGCAGCCGAGTCACGTTGCAAGTTGAACTATTCCCTCTCGGGTCTTGGCCAGATCTCCCTCGCCAGTAGCTTGCAGCCGTAACCACAAGGCGAAAAGGGAGATGAGCGTCTTGGAGAGCTCGACCCAGCTGCCTGGAGGAGCACTGGCGTGTACAAGTAAACATACACATAATTCCACATGTGCACTGCCCCGGCTGACGAGGAGCTGTCGTGCGATCACCCGCCGGGCAGTGCATCATCCTTCTTGAAGGTTGGGTGAAACCGAGTGCTTCCAAGCTATAGTTGAGCAAAAGGCGATGGAAACGGAAAACCAAACAAATCAGACCTGGCAATCTTTACACAGTGGCACATCCCATGCACTCTAAAAGCAGCAAAAAGCTCAAATTGTAGAGGCTTGGAAAGTCTGGGAAGCAATTCAAGAGCCCAGAACATTTCAAGCTGCTGAGAGAATTTGTAAGGTTGCTCATGGCCATCTCAGCTAGACACAGCTGTTCATACTACACATGCATGCCCCACTCGCACTGGCTATACAGGTTCACACCACACTCTGGCTACACAACAAGCGATTTGTTAGACAATCGTGGTTATTTTTCTCAGTCTGTTTTGTCTCACACACCATGAGCCTCACCACAACCTATTCCAATCAGTCTTGACTTGTAAAGTCCACCACGTTGTGGATGCACATACATCATGATATGCAGAGCAACGCGAAATACGGGTCAGGATTGCTCTGCCAAGTTGTTACAAACCCTGTGTTTCCATTGGTCTTTCGTTCAAAAAATCCTAGGTTTCCATTGGCTTTTGGTTTCTTTAAGCACAGGCAGGAAACAAGGGCCTTTAAAGCTGCAGAATCCTAAGTTTCCCTTTTTTTCGTTTCTTTTAAGCACCGGATTGCCCTGCCCTCTGCCCTCTGCCCTCTGCCGTCTGCCCTCTGCCCTCCTCTGCCCTCTTGCCCTCTTGCCCACAGTACGATGCACTCGGCACAACCCTGTCGCAAGAAATTATCGCCTGCGCACAATTCCACGCCAAACCGAAACCTTAAACCCTAAACCCTAAACCTAAACCCCAAAACCCTAACCCCCTAATTAAACCCCAAAGCCCTAAACCACCAAAGCCCTAATTGCCCTTGTCTATACAAAGCCGTGAGCACCGCTCACCTCGAGCTTCATCGGCGAGTCGTAGGACGTGTCTCTCTCGGTGCAGCGCTCCTCCAAAACTTTCGCCTGCAACTGGGCAGGAAAAGAGTAGGATTTAGGAGTTAGGGTTTAGGGTTGCGTAAGGGCAGGAAGATTTAGGGTGTAAGGGTTTAGGGTTTAGGATGGAGGTTTGCAGCTTGAGATTTAGGACTAGGGTTAAACTGCGTTCTTCTTAGGGAACCAGAATCCGGAACTACAGTAAACAATCTGGTTTCCATCTTATGGCAACTTGAACCAAAGTCCTTCGCAAGAACACAGTACAGGTTGAGGAATTACCTGTAGCCGAAAAGACCTACCTTCTTAGGGTTCCTCATTATGATCTCTATATAGTTCCTGGAAGAAGGTGGGCCTTTTCGGCTACAGGTAGGGCTTAAGATTTCGGACTCCAGCTTATTGTAGGATTTCGGCATTATATAGGGCTGAAGGTCTTGGAAGTTTGGGAGTGAAGTTCTAGGGGCTAAGTATCAGGGTTCATGGAGAAAGGGGTTGAAGCTTCAGGAATTGGGGCTTGGGTTTGGTTGTCGGCATCAATGGGGCTTCGCGCCGAGTGCACCAGCAACCGTAGCAAAAAAAATGAATTCCAGAACTGTGGTTTAAAAAAACGGTCACCATAACAAGCACAACAATAACCCCAAACCCTGAACCCTAAAAACCGAACCCCTAAAACCCCTGCTAAACCCCAACACGAGCCATGCCAGCAAGACCACGAACCTGGCACTCGCTTGAAACTTTGGGATTCCGCGCATCTACCCCCAGGTCAGCATCCGTATCCCGAACCGTGTTCTTACACCCTACCTACAAGTTCGCTTGGATATCAGTTTCTGGGGTACCTGGTAGAGTCCTACCGTCCTACAACAAAAACTTGGCTGTCCGCCAAAAGAGGAACTACAAGGGAGAAACTATGGGAAACTACTCAACCATGGACTACACCCTAAGCCTCAGCCTGTGGCGCAGAACGCTCGATCTTGAGGCCCGAATCTGAGGCTTAGGGTTCAGGGGAGCTAGGGTACGGAAGACCCTTATAGATCCCTTAGAGGAAGCCTTATAGTACCCTTATAGATCCCTTAGAGGAAGCCTTATGGTACCCTTATAGATCCCTTAAAGGACGCCTTATAATACCCTTCTAGAGCCCTGAAAGGAACCCTTATGGTACCTTTGAAAGGAACCCCTAAGAACCCTGATCCGACAATCATGGAGCCATCAATCCAAGTCCTAGATCACAAGGTCCAGAAGAGTAAGTGGGCTCAGGGCTTCAGGCTTCGCATATGGGCTCGAAACCTATTCTGAACTTAGACCCCAGCAAAAAGTAAATAATTTTAGCTGTTTGTTCGGGGTTATAATAACCAAAGATTTCAAATTCTGAATACCCTTAAGAAACTGTCAACTCCAACAGGCATTGACCAGGCGATTTGGCGTCTCAGACCGTGGCACTCGTGGGCGACTTAGAAGATCATAGGACTCAGCAACTAGGATTGCAAATGAGGTAACTAGGATCGAGGGTGTAGGGTTCGGAAGCTCAAAACCCTCCGAAATGAAGAACATGAAAGCCTAGACAAACAACACCACAGCTTTACTGAGAGTAGTAATGATTAAACTACTTCTGCGAATGGCAATGTAGAAGGTTTCTGGACATATTGATACTTATTCGGCTTCTGTAAACTAAAGCCTACCTAGACCTGCAAACCCTAAACCCCAAACCCTCCGAAAACCCTAAACCGCTAAATCCTGAACCCTAAACCCATAAAGAGAGCAGGGCCTGGTGGGTTACGCGCACATTGTCCACTGCGAGGAGGTTCACCAGCTCGGTCGATTTCGGAATGTCGAAATCCTCAGAGAGGAGCGGCGGCGTCTTTCGGGTTTATTTAGGGTTTAGGGTTTAGGGTGTGTAACAGCATGCGCGCGGTGGGTGAGCCTTTTACTTTAGGAATAAAAGGCGCACCCACTAATCGCGCGCTTGCGTCAGCATGTAGTCCCGCCCCAACCACCCCAACTATTCTCAACTAGGGTTAGGGCTCACCCCCCAAACCCCCCTCAAGGGGGGCTTTCTTGCTCTCTGCTTCCTTTCGCAGCTTGACATGTAAACAACAATATTTCTCCAAAACTCACAGCTGAAATGGATTGCTGTCGGGTTGTGGGTCCTCGCGGTCTGTGAAGCAAGCGTTTCCAACAAACAACTTGGTTCTCGCGCCCGTAAGGCCTGCTCGAAGTGTGACAAGGCAGGGCAGGGCGGAGTAGGCCAGCAGCAGGGCAGGGCAGGCGGCAGTTCAGGGTTTAGGCTTTAGGGTTTAGGGTTTAGGGTTTAGGGTTTAGGCTTTATGGTCTAGGGTTTAGGGTTTAGGGTTTGTGTAGCGGTGGGTGCGCCTTTTACTTTTGGAATAAGGGGCGCACCCACTAGTCGCGCGCTTGCGTCAGCATGTAGTCCCGCCCCAACCACCCCAACTATTCTCAATTAGGGTTTAAGGTTCACCCCCGCAAACCCCCCTCAAGGGGGGCTTTCTTGCTCTCTGCTTCCTTTCGCAGCTCGACAGGTAAACAACAATATTCTTCCAGAAATACAACTGAAATGGATTGCTGTCGGGCTGTGCCGGCCGCTCGACAAAAAGTAAGAGTTTCCAACAAACAACTTGGTTCTCGCGCCCTGTAAAGGCTAGGGCAGGGCAGCAGGGCAGGGGCAGGGCAGGGCAGGTAGGCAGGGCAGTCCCCTCCTAGGACCGGTCTGGAGGCCCCTAGGTCCTTGAACTCTGCTCGCAGGCGCTGGGCCCCGCCTGACAAGGTCCCTTTTTGGAGGGGGGCCCCTTCAAAAAGACATCAATGGTGCGGGGTTTGGTACGGACTGACGTCCGTGTTGTGCGAGGCGTAGCCGAGTCATTTCCGTCCCCGTATACCGGGAGGCTTTACCCTCCCTCACCGTCTTGTCGGGACGCTCGGCCGGGGGCCTTGGTCGGAGCCTCGAGCGCCCATGCAAATGGTCAGTGGCGCTCTCGGCAGTTTAGGCTTGAGGGTTTAGGCTTTAGGGTTTAGGATTTGGGGTTTAGGGTTTGGGATTTAGGGTTCCTTTAAGGTGCTCGGGTTTAGGATTCTGGGTGTTCCTATAAAGGTTTATGGCTTAGAGTTTCGGGTTCAGGGTTCTGGGTGTTCCTATAAGGGTTTATGGCTTAGAGGTTCGGGTTCAGGGCTGCTCAAGCGGGGCTTCACACATGCTTTCAGCGGCTTCTTGTGAGGGTCTTCGAGGGTTCTGTAAGGGTATCTATACTCGCTTGTAACGAATCTTGTAGACTTGTGTCTGGATTTTAGAGGGGGTAAGAGCGCTTCAGGTTAAAGTTTAAGGTCCAGGGATTTCGGGTTTGGGGCTTGGGGCTTGTTGCAGCGTTCAACATATTTCGAAGGCCCATCTTAAGGATTTCAGGTTTAGGCCGCCTTCAATGTTGATGTGCTTGGCCGTCCAATCGCTCGTGGCCGTTTTGCCAGTTCTTTTGTTCATCCCTAAACCCTAAAGGGACCCCAAGAAACCTTATTCTGATCATTACAACCCCGTTGAAAGGAAGCCTTAAGGAAACGATGGGGCGAGTGCCATCTTCCATCTTCGCAGCCTCACGCTTGGCACTGACGGTTTTCTCGTTGGATTCGTTCGGGTCCCGGTCTTTCAGCTTCTCATACTCCTCTCTGGCACACTGCAGCTTGCGGGTGTGGAGAACAAGCGTTAGAACCACCGCGCAGGCAAACTCGTCAGGAAGATGTTGAACTCTTCCGGCTGAGCCTTGCAAAGTGGTCATACTGCTTCAAACTGCTTCTGAAGATTGGGGCTCGCCTATCATGCCGTTTCGCTTCATTCGAGCTTGGTGTACCTTGAAGAAACCCTTCTGGCAGAATACTTTTGCGAGCACAGTTCAGTCCTGCGAGCAAACCTCATTTGCACGGAAAGCCTCTTCACTTTCGCTTTCCCACTTGAAGAAAAAGGATCTTTGGGTGAAGTCCTTCTTCAAGCAGGGAATCAGCCGATCATCACGAATAACCCAGAAACTGACTGGTCCAAACCCTTCTAGCTCTTGTTTCGCTTGGTGTCCCGCCTCACCAGGCCGCAACAGATCAGCAAATGCTAACCGAAAAAAATAGGGGCCTTAATAATTAGAATAGGGTTCTTTTTAAAGGGATCCTAAAAGGGTTGCTATAAGGGGTCTATAAGGGTACTGTAATGTAGAGGCCTTAATAATTAGAATAGGGTTTTAAGGGCCCATTATATTCTAACGAAAATGAGAAACCCCCGACATGGTATTGGTAATTATTCAGGCCCCTATAGTAGCCAGCATCAATGAAATCCAGGTGGATCAAGGCCCTAACACTACACCCTGAAGAAAATGAACCCTAAACCTTAAACCTAAACCCTAACCCAAAACCTAATCCCCTGAAGTCCTTCACCCTAAAGCCCTAAACCCTAAACCCCTAAATCAGAAATCCCCTTATCTTGCGGGCAGGCATCATAAAGCAAGAATTGGCCGGCGAGGGCTTCAGACGGCGGGTGATCCTGGCAGCGTGGAGCAATTAGGACTATTTATTGAGCCCGGATAGGGTACCATGAGGGTTTTGGATTTGGGGCTTATGGATTTAGAAGGTCTCGGTGGTCGATGGTTGGGTTCAAAAAAAGGGCTCTACGATCTTCTGCTTCTGCGTCCCTCTGAAGTGCATGCTCCATGGACGGGGCGGGGGGGGGGGGGCGCCTGCAACAGACGGCCTAACATAGGGGCCTTAATTAGAATATGGTTTTGAGGTGTATTAGGCTACAATTGCTTATGATAAGGAACCCCCACAATAGCGTGGGTAATTCTTAAAACCCCTACATTACATCAAATGTCAGAGCCGCGCTCCGGTGTTGAAAGGGCTCAAGGTCACATCCCAAATCATCAGTACCCAAAACCTGTGCTGGTGAGAGCATTCTACTTTGATGTAAGTCCTGATCCAACATATATATATATATATATATATATATATACATCCATATATATATATATATATACCTATTCATTCATTTGTTTATGTTCATATTTGTCTATTCTCTCACGACCTCTCAGCAGCTACTGGGACGATATGTCCATCCATTAGGGATGCTTTGAAAGGAGCCCAACCCGAATCGTCGCTGCTAAGCTTCAGCAAGATGGCATCCAAAAACTCTCAACTGCGAGCCACTGGCTTCCCTTGTGGTACTCTCCAAGGGATCACAGAAAATGACTACTACGACAACGACGACAGCACCAGCACCATCTACACAGCACTAGCTACCCTAAACCCCAAATTCCAAAACCCTAAACCACTAACCCTATATTAAACCCTGAACCCTAAAGCCTAAACCCTTAACTCTGAACCCTAACCTAAACCCAGCCCAGACGGTCCTGGAGAGAAGCTGCGATGCTGGCCGCCAGCGAGAAAGGCTGCCGGTCCTCTCTCGGTCTGGGACGTTCTTCTGGGCTCTTGTTGAGGAACTTTCCTTGAGTTACCATAATCGCGTTCTACAGTCAACAATAAGGTGTAGGGTTTAAGTTTTCGGTTGAAATGAATAAGTTAAGTTATCAACATTAATAAGGATCTATAGTCAAGACTATAAGCCCTGGCCATACACCACCCAGAGATCCCAATACCCTTTAAGTAAGGAATATACCTTGAACTATAGAGGCCTGAATATTATGATTTAAAGTATATTCCTTCATTAAGGGGTATTGGGTTCTCTGGGCAGATGTCAACAGAAACGCTCCAAGGATCGACTCTTCCTTGGCCTCTTACTTAAAGGATCATGGGACTTAGTAGCTAAGAGTTATAAATAAGGTAGCTATACTTCTAACCCCAATTAGGGGACTTATAACCTTACTTACTAAGTCCCCTGAGCCTTTAAGTAAGGCCTACAACGCCGAATTTTCGTGCAGAATTGGCCTACTACCCGGGCCTCAGTGCAGAGAACAAAATTTGGAGGTATGGTGTACTATAACCAACAGAAGGCATGCTACGGTTGATGATATAAATCCTGCATTGCCCATAATAAAGAATATACCATGATTCCCATAGTTTAGGGTCCTTAAGGTCATGCAGGATTTATATCAACAACCGTAGTATTGGCAATTATTCCAGCCTCAATGTTACTTTCACACAGCAACCCGAAAGCCGAAATGCCAAACACTGAACTCCAAACCCTAAACCCAAAACTCCAAAACCAAGACCCCGCCCTAAACCGCAGCTCGCCCAACCCTACCGGCCCCCGCTCCGGTCCGAGGCAAACTTGAATTGAATCCTCCGCAGTCGCTGCATCTCTTCCTTGCTTAGGGCTTAAGAGGGTGTAGGGCTTAAGAGGGTTTAGGGCTTGAGAGGGTTAAGGGCTTAAGAGGGTTTAGGGTTTCGGGTTTAGGGTTTCGGGTTTAAGGTAAAAACCCTATGCAAGCCATAAACCCTAAGCCTAGACCCTAACTTGATCCTCAAACCCCAAGCTCTTAGACCGCACCAAGCGGCGAGAATCCACTCTTTCACGCCGACGGCCTCCCAGGACTTAAAGGTTTTTTAAAGTAGGGTTAGGGTTCTGGGATAAGGGCTTTGGGCATAGGGTTTAGGGAAAGCAACATTTAAGACTGGTGCTGGGACTCGTCATACCTTCCGTACAGGATTTCCATGGACAACAGGTCTAGGGCTGTTTTGGGGCTCAGGGCTTATGATTGTTGCTCCGAGGTAATTAGGAATACTGAATATGGACTCTCGATCAGGGGTGTAACAGAGGTGCCTTAATGATTGAAACAAGCCTTGGAAAACAGACACTGTCATGTGCAGCGACAACAAAGGGATAAACCCTAAACCCTAAACCCTAAACTGTTCCGACCCTGTTTTGGCTTTGCCTTTGTTTCCCATACCCTCTTCAGCCAGAGGCATGTCAACCCCAGAACCCGAAACCTTAAATCCTAAACCCCTACACCCTAAACCCCGAAATCCCTAAACCCTAAACCCGAAATCCCCGAACTCTAAACCCTAATCCCTAAATCCTTGAACCCTATAAACCCTAAACCGTAAATCCTTAAGCCTTGAACCCCTAGACGGGAGTGAGTAGCGCAGCCTTGAGCCACAAAACCGAGAGGGAGGCTCGTGCCGGGTGCAGGGCTGTGGTTGCATGGTTTAAGGTTCAGGTCTAAGGTTTGGGGTTTAGCGGTTTAGGGTTTAGGGGTTTAAGGGCTTGGGGTCCATGGTTTCAGGGTTTAGGGGCTTAGGGGTTTTGGGGTTGAGGGTTTAGGGTCGCGGGTTTTGGGGTTTCGGGCTAAAGGTTTACTGCTCTAGGCGTACACGACCACAAGGTTCAGGGAAATCCCCTTCACAGTAACAGCTACCATAATTTTCATAGACTAGTATACTAGGAGCGCAGTATCTCCATTGCAAGGGAGATTAATCTAGATCGTCCGTGTTCTTGTCAAGAATGCATTTTGAATGAAACCCGCCCAAAAAAACACATATCCCAACGATGGTCCTTAACAGAAGTTCCACAGCAGGAGCAGAGCCTGAAGCATGCCGATGTAAGTGAAAAGGCTCTTGCCAATCTCCTCGACCTCGTGGACGGAGCCTGCGAAGCAACGCTACGTCTTTCAGCGATCTAAGGCGGCCACATTAGAGTCATTAGAGTACAGGACTTGGCATGGAAAAACAAAGCAGGTACAAACGAATCAGAGTACTAGCAGAAGCGGTAACAAGCAACAGGAGCCGAGGGTTAACGATTTAGGGATTAGGGTTTAGGGCCGTTAGGGTCTTGTGGGCTCGGGATTCCCCTTATCGGACGCCTATGGAAGATTCAAACAGTACGGCATCCCAATACAGACCCTAAAGACGGAGAGGATACCCAATCACCGAATCATAAGAGAGTCCAGGTAAGGTACCCCGAAACCCGAAACTTGAAACAAAAACACAAAAAAGTCAATCGAAGTCTTGCTTCCGAAAGTGTCCGTGTAGCACCCTTCCAACACTCTCATCCAAAACTTTCGCAAACAAAAGCACTTCTGTAGGGCAAACAATGGAAAACAAAAACGAAACTGTTAACCTTTAGGAAAGAGAGAGTGAGTGAGTGAGTGAGTGAGTGAGTGAGTGCGGGCGTGCGTGCATGCGTGCGTGCGTGCGTGCGTGCGTGCGTGCGTGGGTGGGTGGGTGGGTGGGTGGGTGGCTGAAAGACAAAGGGAACCAGACAGAGAGAGAGAGAGACAGAGAGATAGAGAGGGAGGGAGAGAGAGAGAGAGAGAGAGAGAGAGAGAGAGAGAGAGAGAAAGAGAGGGAGAGGGAGAGGGAGAGAGGCGGGTTCAAACCCTGGACCGCCAAATCCAGTAAACTCTATATCCTAAACCCTAAGCCCCTATATTCCCCTAAGCCCCAAACCCTGAACCCTAAACCGGGAAGCCGAGTGGCCATCAGTGAGGGTGAAAGAAACCTGGCAGGTGACTCACAGCTTTTTTGAAGCTTCCTGTGAAGGCTCCTGCTAGGGTTTGGGGTCAAAGGTTTGGGGTCTAGGTTTTGGGGTTTCAGGTTTCGGTTTAGGGTTTCGGGTCTCTTTAAGAAAAGGCTTTGAGGATGTTAGTATTCATGGTACTAGGGTTTCTGTGTTTGAAGGTTTAGTGCCTTAACTGTTGGTGTGCAAGCTTAAGTAGACATTAGGGGGAATGTTGCTTGGGGCGTTTAGGAATTCCTGTCAGGGTTCGTGTGATTCAAGATGGCTTGGAGCTGTAGGGGGTCTGCAGGCTGTCGGGCTTTGGGTCTTTACGCTTTTTGCGGTTTAGGGTTCAAGGTTTCATGAGCGGGATGAAGAGCGTGAAGGCTTAGGGTTTAGGGTAACCCTATAAACCCAAGACCTAAAACTCGAAACGCCTTAAATTAAACCCTAAACTCTAAACGCGACACCTTAACGCCAAACCCCCAAACCAGAAAATCGAAACGCCGAATCCCCCTAAATCCTCACAGAATCCGGTACACAGACACCCCTCTCCCAAACGACCTGTTTTAACAAAACCCTGCGTAATATGACTGTACAAAACGACGTAATCAAGGCTAGTCTAAGTACCTAGAACTCTTTTCACGCACCGTCAGCCCTTATAAACCCCTTCTTCCTCACAAGGTTCATGGTTTGGGGTCTACTGTTTGGGAAAGTTTGGCGATTAGGTCTAGAGGAACCGGACCGTGGCGTTGGAGAGCTCAAGTCTCCCTGCATCACCCTAAGCACCTTTTTGACAATAAGCAAAATGCCATTTCAGAAATCCCCTGGCGCGACTGGTGTAATTTTGCAAAACTAACTCCCAAGAACCTGTTTTACAAGAATATACAATATTGACACCTAATTCCGAAGAACGTTGTCCATCTAATCTATCACAAACATCCGAAGAACCTTTTTAACAATGATATGTAATGTGCAAAAACTAGTTCCTAACAACCTTTTCTTTACAATCTAACATAAACATCCTAAGAACCTTAATTAAAGTTGCAGGAAAACCTAAACCCCTAAACCCCTAAACCCTAAACCCTAAACCCCTAAACCCTAAACCCTAAACCCTAAACCCTAAACCCTAAACCCTCATGAAACCTACAAGAACCTTAAAGTTGCAGGAACGGATCTCCTGCCTGCAGGAGCGAGAAGGCCCCCTCGAGCCATCCGCCCATGGAAGAGACGCAACTGACGATGAGGCCCCTCTCCTCCGGGCTTAGGGTTTACGGTTTAGGGTTTTAGGATTTAGCTGTTTGGGGTTTAGAGCTTAGGGGTTTAGGGTTTAAGGTTGAGGGTTTAGGTTTTTAAGGCTTAGAGTTTAAGATTTTGGGCCTCCTTCGGGTAGTTACGCCCCTCTCCTCCGAATCGCGGCTGGCCCTTTGAAGCCTGAGTAAGATCCCACCCAACCCTGGGCCCAATGAGGGAAAACGTATACTGTCTCAAAGGCCTACCTGGGAATCTGTGTTACGCTGCCCGTCGCATTGCGACGAAAGCCTCTTTCCTCCGAGAGGCTTGCGGGTCATCGGTTTCGGTCTATGGTTTAGGGCTTAGGGTTTAGGGTTTAGGGTTTTGGGTTTAGGGTTTAAGGTTTAGGGTTTAGGGTTTAGGGTTTAGGGCTTAGGGTTTAGGGTTTAGGGCTTAGGGTTTAGGGTTTTAGGCTTCGAGGGTGGTAGGAATGATCAGCATGGGGATGATGCTGAAAACCGTACACCTAACCTTGCTACGAGCGCAAAAAACGCCAAAGACTGTCACCATGTTAGGCATCACCGCCTTGAACAATGATAGTAGTAGTAATGTACTAGCAGACCGAATATCTAGAAAAAGTGATAACACTAACTATAACCGTAACTGCAACGGCAACAGCAACTGCACTATCTATGGCTCTGCTATACCAACAGCATCCAACAATAACAGCCAAACTTTCCAATACACTAGCATAGCAGCTGCAGTACCGACAATAAGATTCATAAGTATAGTGAAAATAGCAGTACTACTGAGAAGAAGAACAGCCATGATCCACGCCAAACTCACCTAAACCAAAACCTAAACCCTAAAAACCGCACAGTAGTGTTCTCGGAATACCGCACACCATCACAGAAACGAACTCGAATGATGCCGGCCTTGATAAACGTAGGAGTGCAGGGTTTGAGTTAAGGGTTTAGGGGTGGCGAGGGTTTAAGGTTTAGGGTTGGGGTTTAGGGTTTAAGGTTCAGGGTTTGAGTTCAGGGTTTGAGTTAAGGGTTTAGGGTTGGCGAGGGTTTAGGGTTTAGGGTTGGGACCTGGAGCATGGAGGTTTTGGCCCACTGCATAGGTGAAACGGTGGGGTCTGTTGGGCCTCTCTGTCCACTGTAGACAGGTCTGGGACCTGGAGTGCACCTGAAGTCTGGAGGTTTTGGCGCACTGTACTTAAAGGATCATGGGACTTAGTAACTAAGGTTGTAAATAAGGTAACTATACCTATAATTCCTTATAACCCACATTAGGGCCCTTATAACCTTACTTCCTAAGTCCCCTGATCCTCCAAGTAGACCCTAAACCCTAAACCCTATAGATCCCTTTAAAGGACCCTATATAGATCCCTTAGAGGATCCCCTTAAAGGAACCCTATACATCCATCCTGGGACCTGTAGCCGGGAGCCTTTGAGGGCTTAAGGAACTGAGTTTTCGAGCCTGGGCTTTCTAAAGGGCGCTGTGGTGTCTGAGAGGGCGTACTTGCGTACCATTGTGAGGAGATGATCGGAAATCACGTGGTCTCCTCATCGCGAGAACTCCTCAACCCAACCCCAAACTCTAAACCCTGAACCCTAATCCCTCACTCTAGCGCCCTAGAACCCACAATCAAAGTCCTTAACCAAAAACAACCGCTACCCGTGTCGGTCCTTCAGCTGGGCCGTCCTTGTGCTGCCGTTTCAGAGAATACAGGACATTGACCCATTGAGTTACTGTAGCTTATGCCTGAAGGCAATGCTCATTTTCCAACAGCACGCAACATATACAACGCACTGACCTGGCAAGGAGTGCTCTACACACTGTGCGAAGCGCGGGTCGTCGGGTTGGTCCAGGATTCAGGGCTGAAGGCTTCGGGTTTGGGGTTTCTTTAGGGTTTGGGGTTTAGGGCGTGAGGCGTTGCGTTTCGGCGATTCCGGGCTGAGGAAGCAGGATTGGCTCATGGTGTAAGGATGTTGGTGTTCGGGCTCCAGATCTATCGCTTGACACTTAAGGCTTACCTGGACCCTAAGGAACCTACCCTTTTAAGGGCCCCCCCCCAATAGGATTTCTTTTGTAAGTCCCGAAAAGGGTAGGTTATTTGGGGCTAAGGTAGGGATTCTTCCGACCTGTCCATCACAAGCAGCACCCACCTTTCAAATCCGAACGGGACCAGAAGAGAAAGAAGTGCTCCACCTCAAAAAGGGTTTAGGGTTTAAGTAACCCAGACCGTCGTTGCGTAGAGGCCGACAATAATTACCTCGGGCACACAATGCTCCAAAATACTGTCACTGACGATTCAAGCCCACGTTCTGTCAATACTTCTCCCCAAACCTTACACTCCGAAACCTTAAAGCCCAAACTCCGAAAAGCTTGAAAACCAGAAACCCTACATGAAACCCCTAAGAACCCCAAAACCCGTGTAGGAATCCTTGCAGGAACTCTCAAAGGAAACCTTAAACAAGAACCCTTGAACCGTAACGACCTTACAACATCCGAAATGCCGTAAACTCCTGTACAACACCCTGCCTCTAATCTATCCTAAATACCCACTATTAAGGACCATAAGGGCCCCAAACCCCTAAACCCCAAACCCCTAAACCCCTAAACCCCAAACCCTAAACCCTAAACCCCAAAGGAAACGCCCTGGGGGCCAAATGCGAGCCGAAACACAAGGAGCCGGCACCCTCGTGCCCTAAAAGGTGCGACAAGTATGCCTGATACTGTTGATGATATGAATCCTGCATTTCCCATAATAAGGGAATATACCATGATTCCCATAGTTTAGGGTCCTTAAGGTAATGCAGGATTCATATCATCAGCAGTATGACAGGAAGATGTAGGCCGAAAGGGTCATCTAGGGTGTTCAGAGGGTTTGGGGTTCAGGGTGTGGGGTTGCAAGGTTTGGAGTTTTGCTTGGAGGGCAGGGCGTAGTTCGGGTCTTAGAATAGGGTTTTGGGATAACTCATAATGTAATTGTACAGGAAACTATATTCTTGCCGACCCCTGCACTAGGCTTTCACAATAGGTAAGGGCTCAGGATTTCTTTAGGGTTGAGACATGTTTTAAAGGCTTACATTGACCCCCCGAAACGGAATTCCTTCTCGGGCGGTCTAATATGGTACGAATCCCAGAAACAATATTGAGAACTCCCTTGGAGATCCAGGTAAAGTATGTAGCTTTAGATAGGGGTTTAGGATTGCGGGGTGTAGGGTTCAGGATTTAGGGTTTAGTCGACCGGTTTTCAGTTTTGCAGGCACACTAACATGCTGGAAGCACCCTGAACCCTCAACCCTGAAGCAAAAGCCCGACAACCCCGAAAAAGTAGACCAGCACACAAGCACCCCAAGTCATCAAGCCCTCAGGCCTTGAAGGGACTCCTACACCCATGAGCAAACCCCGAAATCTCTAATGACCCCTGCATCCTCAACCGAAACCCTAAGCCGCAAACCCTACTACACCTTAAACCCGAACCCCGACACCCTGAACCCGAAACCCTGAACCCTGAACCCTAAGCCAACTCTGAGAAGGTCAACCCTCTACGTCCGAAGCGATGGGTTCCGTTTTTCGTATGGGTGGTTGTCAAAATTAGGGTCCCTTTTTGGGTCCCTTATTATAATACGGCACCTAATATTTGGAGTGCCCAGAAAGGTGCCATAATTTTGACAACCACCCATATCAATTCCTTTAGAGGACCTTGTAAAGTCGTCTATACCAAGATCTTGCCAAATCCCTTAATCAAGCAATGTACCCCGAATATGAAGGACTGCTCCTGAAATTGCAAACATTATCACATGAAGAGGTACATTGGGCTTTGTGGAAAGCCAGCAACCCCAACATAAACAGTCTAAACCAGTCTAGAGTCTAAACTCTCTCTGAACCCTGTATATCTATCCAACCTCCAGAAAACCCGAACTCAGAAACAACCCGAAAATGCTCACCCCTCAACCAGAAACCCTCAACCCAAAGGCCTCCCCTGAAACCCCAAATCTACCGGGCGGCCACTGGCTTGCTTCGCCAGTGAGGCCCTTGCCAGGGGATCACCCAGCTGAATTTCAGCCTCTCTGCTCAAGAGAGTCGCGGTTACTGGAAGGATCATAAGGGTTCCTTTAAGGGATGTATAAGGGCTCCTTTGAGGGATCTATAAGGGTTCCTTTCAAGGATCAATAAAAGGGCAACCCTAAACCCTAAACCCTAATTAAGGCTTAGGGCGAACTACAGCCTCTCTGCGTCGGAGAGGTTAGCTTCTTCGGGCCTCGGCCCTCTCGTCGGGTTCTAACCTTCCTTAACGGGTTCCTTAAAGGGTTCCTGCTGCTAAAGGGGATGTACAGGGGTTGCGGATCGGGCCTTGACCCTCTTATGGGGTTCTACGGGTTCCTTTAGGAAGTAGTGTCAAAAGTGCATGGGGGTTGCAAAAACCCAGGCCCCATGACAGGCCCTTCTGTTCCTTTAAGAGATCTATGGGGTTCCTTTTAGGGCTAAAGGGCTTTGAGGAGTTGGAACGGGGCCTTCCCCAGAGTGGATTTCCTAATTTGGGACCCAAATGTAATGGTGATGATATAAATCCTGCATTACCTTAAGGACCGAAGGTCATAAAGGTTTTGTGAGTTTTTTACTGGTCCTACAAGTCTCAATATGTACGAAGATGCCACGACTAAGTAATTCTTCAGACCCCATATTGACGAGCATCAGTGTTCAAGTCTTGGGGCCCGCAAAGGGTTTCAAAATCAAACGCCATGCCGTGCATCAGTCTGCCAGCCATAGAAAAAGTAGAGGCTCCACCACTTTAAACCCCAACCCCTGAACGCCAAACCCTGGATCTCGAAAACCGAATGCCCTAAAACCTAAAACCCTAAACCCTAAAACCCTAAACCCCAAAACCCTAAACCCTAAAACCGGAAACCCCACAACGCTAAACCCTAAACCCCAAAATCCTGAACCCTTAAACCCTAAACCCTGAAACCCTAAACCCTTAAACCCTAAACCCTGAAACCCTAAACCCTAAACTCCTAAACTGTGGATTTGTCAAGGAAGAAGCGAAAGCGAAAGCTTTCAAAAAACCGCCCCAAAGGATCCCTCAAGGCCCAACCCCGAAGCTGATGTGATTTCCATCATTCTCAGGCTTCTGGGAGTTCAGGGTTTAGGGTTTTAGGGTTTAGGGGTTTTGGGGTTTTGGGGTTTAGGGTTTAGGGTCTACACTGAGAGATTCTGTTTGCCCTCGTTTTGAAACCATTTAGAGTTTAGGGATTCGGGCGTGCAGTCCCTTAGCTCAGCGTCCCGCGATTTGACGTCCTTGACGGGCGCCTGCAAAAGTAAGCGATTCCACTCCTCCGGCGGCCAAGTGGGTTCAATAGTTCGGGGAGTACTCGAAATCACGATCATCTTGCATCATCCTGGAAGCAATTAATCACAATAATCACAACCGGTCATCATCATCGTCATCATCATCATCAGCAACTGCATCACAAGCCTCCAAAGCTGTAGTCATCATCGTACTGCTCCCTAGGCCCTGGGAAAGATTTGCAGGCTGCCCTCAGCTATTACTTCGAACGAAACCATGACCACTGCTGCAACTTTGAATCATCATGCTGCAGACACTGTCTTAGAAGCCTTCAGAATCATGCCGACTACGCAGTGTCTGGGAATGCCATCGGACGGGTTCCGCCACCATTGGTAACCATCCTTCTGTAGCGCCAGATTCACTTCAATGTTACCACTATGACGGCTGACATCAATCAATGCGTCCATATCTTGATGACTGCAACCATCGTGAACCTTTGTACTGCACCCACGATTCTTGTTACTGCAACCCACGATTCTTGTTACTGCAAGGTCTTGTCGGTACTCTAAAACCCAACCCCCCACACACACACACACACACACACTGACTGATTCGGCCGAGAGCACGAGTGCAAAAGGAAAAGAGAGAGGCATGTTGTACTTGCTTGCTGTCAATTCAACCGACAAGTGTGGCAACTGAAAATCTAATCTTGGCACAGGGGCCCTCTAAGCTTGCTGGCTCAGGGGCCCCAGCTCATTTTGTGTAGGTACGCCAGACTGATCAGGTCTGGTATCCACCATTACGCATAGCTTCGTTGGCATGCGTTTGCGTAATGGCCGCATGCCCCCTGCATACCATCATGTGTTTCCATGAAAATGTGTTCCAAAAAGGCATCAAAATCGATAGAAGGGAGTGACCCTCTGCTCCCATGTGCTAGGGAGGTTCACACACACACACGCATACAACCTGAACGCCTGAGACCATTGAACACCCTGAAACCCCAGAAAAACCACAAAGCAAAGCAAGTCCAGCAGAAAGAATTGTCTGAATGTAAGTTATGCATGTGCGTCTGTATGCGTGTATGTGCGCGTATGTGTGTACGCGTGTATGCGTGTATGTATGTATGTATGTATGTATGTATGCATGTATGTATGCATGTATGTATGCATGTGTGTGTGTGTATGTGTGTATGTGTGTATGTATGTAGGTACGCATGTATGTGTGCACCTAAACCTCCATACTTGTGTATACATATAAACTTAGAGAGAGACTAGACTAACTAGATCCCTGAACACGAAACCCGAAAAGCCGCAAAGACCAAAAGAACTCAAACAAAACACTGCTGAACCCAAGGCTTATGAAGTCTAAACAGGTACTGGTAACTGCCTTCCAAACAGAGCAACTACCAAAACACAAAAACTGAATCTGTGCCCCGTCCTTTGGAAGAAACGGTGGCTGGTCACTGACGGCCTCGCCTCAAAGTATTATGTGCAATTCAAGGCTTCGAGAGTCTCGGGTTTGAGGCACTGGGTTTAGAGCTTAAAGTTTGGGGTTTAAGTTTTTGGGCTTCGGATTTGAAGCGTGGCGTTTAGAGTTTAGGGTCTAGGGTTTAAGGCTTTGGGTTTCGGGTTTGGGGGGTCTTGGGCTTCAACTGTTCGGTTTAAGCCTCTGGTTCAATCACGAGTCTTTCCTTTTGAGGCTGTAGCTTTCAGCCTTGCCCGGAAAGCGAAGAATCCTAAATCCTGACTTGGAATTCCAATGCAGATGCGAACCTCAACAAAACTAAGCCCTTGGAAAGTAAACTAAGCCCTTGGAAAGTAGCGTTCATGACTAAGATAGGCTTTTGAGGTGCATTACTCTATGCTCATATTCGGGAACGTTCGGGGCCCCAATATCAAAACCCAGGCCGCCCATCCCCAAACCCTCATGAAAGCCGGAACTGAACCCTGAACCCCTATGCCCTAAACGCGACCGTCAACCCAAAAAGACGTAAACCCATTTAGGAGATCCCTTGAAGGCCCTAAACCCAAAATGTGTTAAACCCCTCTAGAACCCTTTTCAAGAACCGTATAGAGTCCTTCTAGAAACATCATTGAACCCTCATAAACCGCTGATTGGAAACCTCACAGATCCATGAAAGGAAGCTCCTAGTCTTCGCTGCCTGCAGAACCCTAAACCCTAAACTTTCCCAAACCCGAAACCCTAGACCGAAATCTTAAACCCTAAGCCCGAAACCCAAAGCCCTAAACCGAAAGCCCGAAACCCTAAACCTTAAACCGGTGCCTTTAGGCAGATTGAGCCCCTTGTCGGCGATGTCGGAGAACCGCTCTCGGATCATCGCCTAACTTGAAGACTTTAAGGTTCCTTCAAGGGCTCCATCGCCACAACTCTTGAGTTGCAAAGAAAGTTGTTGGTATGAGAACGAAAGCAGCCCCCCCCCCATCCCCCCACCCTCAAAGTCCTATCCTAGCACCGAAGCCGCAAAACCGGCAGAAAAGCGCGCGGCCAGATACGGACATGTGTGGTCCTAGCTACTGTACGCAACTGCGAGGATCCACATCATAATCATCATACAGACATCCCTTCTATAGGTAAACACAGCAGACCCTAACTACCAAACTGAGAGGATCCCGATTATACAGACCGCGCTGTAAAGTTTGTGATACCTGCTCAGAAGGTTTGGGAAGTCTGCGCTAGGCCCGAAACTTCTATCCCTAAACCTTGGACTCTAGTATGGGGCCTTAATTTATAACCCAAGACGGTAGAGGCATTTATTTACCGATAGTGGACCCAAAACCCTTTGCTCTAAACGCAAGATGCTTAACGTTAGGTTCTAGTTAGGGCAGTTAAACTCCGTTCCCAAGACAAGGATACAACATCACCCCTACTGTGGGGACTGAAGATGCATTACCATGAACCCGCTATGAAATCCTGCAGACAAACATGCACCCCTCATACAACCTTACAGACCCCCGTTTGAACCCTTTTCCCAAACCCTCGCTACACTGCTACGTGCTGCAGCCTCCAGCTCTTGGACGCTCTCCTTCGGGGCTTCAGGTGTAGAGTTTAGAGCTTAAGATTTCGGGTCTGTGGGCCTAGTCTTAAAACGAATCATGGGACTTGGTAACTATGTAGGGGTATAAACTTAGTAGCTATACCTATAGCTACGTCTACCCCCGATTTAAATACGATTAGCCCTAGTTACAAAGTCCCCTGATCCCGGGTTTGGACGTGTATTCTACAGAGCAGCTGTAGTAATTGAGGAACCCATAGAAACCCTTATAAATCCATTAAACGAACCTCTAAAGGTAGGCTTTAGGGTTTTAAGATGTAGGGTTTAGGCTTTCAGGTTTGGGGTTTAAGATGTAGGGGTTTAGGCTTTCGGGCACTTTGAATTTAAAGCTTAAACTGCTCTTGCCTCGGCTTCCGCAAAAAAGATCCAAGTTGGGGATCCATACAATGAGGATACTACCTTCACAGTCCCCATTATGAACATGTATGTATACATATCTACATAGTTTTGTTTGTGTATTTATTTACTGTGATTCATTTAACTACATATTGATATCTACACATAGGGAGGACAAAAAGCATCGACCTACTGGACCTTTCTTGTCTCACGACGTCTTGAAAAGCAGCGGAGTACCGAGAAGTGCGATTTACGTTGCCTGGCCAGCGGAGTTATTTTACACGCTGTGGTAAAAATATATTACTTTCATGTTCCGGACGAGTAGCCCCATTGCTGCTGTTTGATAGGATTCTATCGGGCGAATGGGGGCCTGTGTTCGATGAAACAAGCAGGAGGTCAAACTTTCGTCCTACCCCAGCATACTTATACATATATCTGCATATGTAATTACATATGTATATGTTTTCGATATCTCTCCATTTGTAAATATATATATATATATATAGTGAACAGTTTATGATATCTCTCCATCTATGCATAATTAAATGCTATCTCCCCCCCTAGCTTATCCACCCTTTTTGGGTGGAAATGACCGAATTTGCCCAGTACCCGGGCTGCGACGGATCCCGGATTGAAAATCTCACCTGATAAATCCTATAAGGTACCCTGACCGAACCCGCATGGGATCCCCACGAAAGCCTTTCTTGTAATTGCGCATGGACCCCTGCAAAGACATATCCACTGTCTTCTTGGATCTGCCCAAACTCTGGACTACACACCCCCTACTAGGACGGAAATAACAGGCTAATTCCCCCTAACGTTAACACCCTAAAAAATCCTATGTTCTAGATCTTGCGAAAATGCGAGCGACCATGTTGGTGAAAATCCTATGTTCTAGATCTTGCGAAAATGCGAGCGACCATGTTGGTGTCTACATAATCAGTTTTACAAGAATTCAATTCGACAGTCAGTTTGGCAGTCGCTACTACTCGTGTATGTGTACGTGCACGCTTATATAGTATTGCGGCAACCCGTAATAGGCACCAATTATGCAAAAAAGGCTATCAACTTAAAGATGCACCCCGAGGCAAAAAAACAATGAGTCCCAAAGCATACATGCAGCTCCTCTGTCTTTTGGTGTTTTGTCTTTTCTTAGCCATCCTAGCTTCCCAAAGGCGAGCTTCTTGCTGGTACATCAAAATTGTGTACATCCCCAGGTCTCACGCGCGACACGGACACAAAAATTATATATTGATATGCATTTTATGCAAACTAGGCAAACACATCAATACTAACAGTACAGACGTAGGTATACTTGTACAAGCAATTGGTTAGAAGGAATTTCTTTATAAGGTTTTAACACGCAGCGGGTATACTCCACGCTGTCTGGAATGTGCTGCTAGGAGCGTACGTACTTCTGTGTATAGAAATCATCGGGTCGGCATTGGTCTGTCTAAGTGGCGACGGCATATCCATGTGTATTTAACGCAAATGCGCAAGGTCATTCTTGTGTATATGTAGAAAACTATCCAGTATTATTGCAGTCTTAATATTGTCGTTGCTGCGGCTGGTACTACATGATTGAGAAATACCTATGTCATTATATGTGTGCTAGGAGCAGAAACCCTGCATTTCTCGTAGCCAGAAAGATATTACCGTGCTGAAACACACAGTTGCCCACTAAGGGTTTATGCACCAACATTTCCTACTGGCATATACACTTCCAGTGGTATTGATTTCTAACCTTACACCTTGCGTAGGCATCCTATATTTGAGGAACCAAGTTAGGGACTTGGCGCTTGCGGGCTTGGAGGTTTGCAGCTCAGATATGAACCTGGCAATGAACGTTTATAACCTTAAGCCGTAGTCGGGTTTCATTCGGGCTGCAGGGTTTAGGGCTCGGCGTGTGGGTTAATTCAGTGCGTAATTTAGGGCTCAGCATGTGGGTTAATTCAGAGCACATGGTTTAATGTGACTGACCAATCCGTGAGCCCTATTGAGTTCAATAGGCCTACTGAATTCAATAGGGCTGTCGGATTCAAGATTGAAGATTCAAGATGCCTGCGAAAGTTTGCTGTGACATCTTGAACCTTTCTATCTTGAATCCGAGGGCTGAACGTCAAAACCCTGGATGCATCGGGACTGCTCCCATTCCCCTTAACGCACGCGCAGGCATGTACTTCAGCATCCGTTGTGTTGTTTTAGTTCTGCACACATAATACACATAAAAGGATTCAGATTATACACATACACACACGCACAGATCAGTCTTCCAAACTGGCACATAAGTGAGGGGAAAGGGGGTCAGGGGAAGAATGCACAGGATTTACACCAAAACTGGTGGATAAATCGGGGGGATACCAAATAAACAGATGTATATATATATATATATATGTGTATGTATAAACAATGTACAGATGCTCATACATGTGAGGGTCCCGCAAGTTATGATGCGATGCAGGCATCGTCGAATGAAGCCTGGATTTGGTTGGGCAGCAATAACACTGTCCTGTTTCAGATCGCGAAATAGGGCGTCACTCCAGGAGCTCAAATGAAAAGTAACAGTAACATCAATAGTAACTGTAAATGTGGTATCAACAACTCAAGTGCTAACAATAGCAATAATGATGGTAATATTGGTGGCAATAATGATAGTAATGATAGTGAAAGCAAAAATAATAGTACTACCAATAACAATAATACCAGCAGTAACAATAATTGTATTCCAACAAGTAAGAGTAACAGTAGTAGTTATCGGGATTTTTCAAACCACGCATCTTGCCCAAAGGCTCCAACACTCATTACTCAGGGAATACCACGCAAGAAATAGCAGGCTTCCGACAATAAGTTAGGGGATATAAGGGGCTACCCCCTCTGCTGACCCTCAGCTCTAAGCTCCATGCCCTACATCCTTAGACCGCCACACCCTGAAGCTCTAAGCCCTAAAACCCCCAGACTTAAGTCCCAAACCCGACACCCTAAACTTAATGAAACTCGGCAGAAGTTCTTAACTCAGTGAAAGGGCAATGTCTGAAAGAAAACAAATTGTATTGAAACCATGCGAGGAACTTGGTAGGCCATACCAAAACGAACTTATGAGACTTGAGACTTTGTAAACCTAAGCCGTAGTTTCTAAGCGCACAGAGAAAATGCCCCCAGCAAGCTCCTTCCCAATGACGCACAGTGTCATCCCATTCGCCTCGGGCAATTCAAAACCCTCTGAGGGTTCACACCTCCCAGCCTTGCTTAAGTCTTGGGGTCTAGGGTTTAGTGTTTTGGGGTTTGGGGTTCAGGGGTTTAGGGGTTTAGGGGTTTAGGGGTTTAGGGATTTAGGGATTTAGGGGTTTAGGGGTTTAGGGGTTTAGGTTTAGGAATACCAAACACAAGCAGGGCTTGGAGTTATACGACCCTGTGGCCACAAAAGTTAGGCTGGGGGTATGTGGGTTGAAAGAGGCGAAGCATTTGCGAAGTAGCGAAGCTCCGATATGAAGGCTTGAATCCGGAACCCTAAAACACCCTGAGGCTTAATATAAGCGCCTTAATAATTGGAATAGGGGTTTGGGGTACCTCATACTGTTCTTACAATCAGAAACCCCAAAATAGCAAAGGTACTAACTACGGCCCCTACACAAAAACCCTTATAGTAATCCTCATAGACCCCTTTAGACAAGAAACCCTGAAAGGAACCCGTATACCTTAATTATTAAGGCTTCTACATTAACAGATGCACTATGGACTCACGACTTCTTCGCTCGCGCCCAGATGCCGACCACCTTAGGGTTCAGGATTTTTCGCTCCGAGCTTGTTCCGAGGGTCGAAGGAAGTCCAACAGTGACGACTGAAAGGATCGTCTGACATGGGAGTTTATGACTCGCCTTATGAGCTTATAAGCAAGATAACTAAAATTTCAACTATCACTACTACCACTACTACTACTACTAATAATAATAATACTACTGCTACTACTGCTACTGCTACTCCTGCTGCTGCTACTACTACTACTACTCCTGCTACTACACTAGCAGTGACTACTAACCCCAAGTAGTGTAGTTGTAACCTCATCCTCCGAGCAAAGCGCACATCCCAACCCGGACACTCCCTCTAAGCCCTTTGGAACGACTGCCAAAAAACACAAGCCGAAGTAAACCCGAACCCCAGACCCTTCTAGACCGTTTTAAAAAACCCTAAACCCTGAAACCCCAAACTAAGCCCGAAATCTTAGACTCTATAAAACGCGAAACACTAAAACCTGAAACCCCAAACTACGCCCGAAACCTTCGACTCCATTAAACCCTAAATCCTAAGCCCTAAACCCAAAAAAAAAGCCCCGAAACGCTTTCCCCGGCCCGGCCGAGTAAAACTCGTCGTAAAACTTCTGCATTTCCTCGTAAAGGTCGAGACCTTCCGTGGCTTCACTTATTGGAGCATGGGATTTAGTAACTAGGGTTATAAAGGGTTCCTTAAAAGGCTCCTTGAAGGGTTCCTTAAAGGGTTTTTTGTAAAGGGCTCTATAAGGGTTTAGGGGTACTTAAAGGATCATGGGACCTAGTAACTTAAAGGGTGGTGTAAGGGTTTGTTTGAGGGTTCTACAGGGGATCTATAATCAGGGTCTTCCGGGTTTTGGGGCTTAGGGATTTAGAGACTTGGGGCTCAGGGTTCAAGGCTTTGGGGACTTACGGGCTTAGCGGCTGCGGGCTTAGGATCGTTTAGGGTTTCGGGGTTTGGTATGGCGATTTGGGCGAAGCCGCATCATTCCAACAGGGTGAATCTTAAACCCAAATTCCAGATCCTAGCCCGAAATCCTGACTCCTTAGACCCCGAACTCTAAGCGCTACAACCCTATATATGGTGCCGCGTCGCCGCGTTGCAGGCCCCCCCCCCCATGGTATGCCCCCCCCCCCCGGCCAAGCCTCTCGTCCCAACAAACAGTCACACATCATCCGCGGAGCGCCAGGGGCAACCCAGAACCCGTAGAACCACAGGGCCCCTTCCCCTTCCCCTCCCCTTCGACATACAGGTGAGAATGATGATTCCCAGTGTGGCTGTTGGTGGTACCTTTGCTCTTGTGTTGCTCTGGGCTTCGGCACCGCATGCTCATTGTTTTACGTTAAAAGTAAGCTTGAGCACGAATTTGAATGGTTTTCATTCGGGACTCTTGAGCAAGGGACCGGAGGTGGGGATCATGACCACAATGTTGGTCATTATCATAACCAAAATATTCATCTCTGTCATTGGCTTTGGAGCTCAGGGCAGGTCGGAGTCCAGTGGAACTGTATCACATCCTAAGGTCAAAACCTTTAGCAGCCGGACGCCCAACCAGCAATAGCCATGGAAGGGGGCACAGCTGACCGCAACCACAGGGGGGAGGGGAGGGGGGAACCCACACCACAGCGAACCACAGGGGGTGAGGGGGGGGATACCATGGGGTGGGGGGGGGAGGGGGGGCCTAGCAGCGCTGCACCATATAAACCCCAAACTCCTTACCCTGAATTCCTAACTCCGCAAGCCCGGTAAGACCGCGGAGCCCCAAGCCAAAAAAAATCAGCTTTGAGTTTGGTCTAAACCCTAAACCTTAAACCCTAAGCCCCTAAACCCTAAAATAACCCTAAAGCCCTAAACCCCTAAACCCAAAACCCCTAAACCCCTAAACCCGAACCCCTGACCCCTAAACCATTGGAGTTTCGATGGTCGGGCTCCGGGTTTTGCGGTTCGATTGCGGCTCTCAAGGTTTAGGGCTGCAGAGTTTAGGGCTTAGGGCTGAGAGTTCAGGGTTTAAGGTGAGGGCTCAAGGCTTAGGATTTGGGGATCAAGGTGTAGGGCTTAAGTTCAGGGTCTAGGGCTGAGGATGGAGCATTCATAGTTGAGGGCTTGGTGTCGGGCATCAGATATGAGGGCGGGTTCTTAAAATTGCGGAACCCCGTAAATGACCGCATGTTCAGGATCATAATGACTTCCGGGCCACGAGTACTGCGCGGTTTCTAGGAGTCTTAAACCTTTGTCTGAAAAATACTGACAGACAAACCGCCTGAAGAAGGAACACACGGGGAATTCCTGCTAAAATCCTTACGTGGGGGGTTTATTAATGATAATTAGTTCTTCATAAAGCCCTTCTGGGCCTTTGTGCCCTACAACACTTGGGCGGTTGTCAAAATTAGGGTCCCTTTTTGGGTCCCTATTATAGTACGGCACCTGATATTTAGGGCACCCAAAAGGGAACCCTAATTTTGACAACCGCCCACTTACACCCCTTACATAAACCCTAAGACCCCCAAGGCCCAACACCAAAGCCCCAAACTGGAACGCAAGGGTTTTATGGGGGTTCTATAAGGCAGGGATGAGGGCTTAGGGAATCCCCAAATACCCCATAAATCCCCAAAACAGAAGTCCGAAGACGAAAGGCCGGATCCTGTAAATCGTAAACCCCTACAGCCCTACTCTCAGGGCCGTAAAAACAGGAATGTGCCTTAAATTCTGCAAAGATATGTTCCAAATTATGGTCTGTTCCCGAATTGGGAGGCTTTGGTGTCTCTGGCAAGGGAACCCTGCGAAGGCCTTTCTCCTTTGGGTCGTCCCGCAGCATCTTATTGTTGCCGCAGGCCTTGCCGATCGCTTCTGTGGGGTTTTAGGGTTTAGGGATATAGGGTTTAGGATTTAGGCTTTAGGGTTTTGAGCGGCTTGGGGACGGCATTGCAAGTTGTACAAACAGAGCCCTGAAACCTAAACCCTCAAAGATTTGGAAAGTAAGTCCACCCCAAGCCAAACCCTCAAAAATTCAAAGCGCAGAATCCTAAACCTCAAATTCCCTCCTGGTTTAAGATTTCCCTGTTGATCAAGGGGTGATGACATTTAATCTTTATGCGACTCGGGGCTACAGGTAGGGTTAAGGAGCCCGAAACTAAGGAACCTTGGGGTCAAGGCTCCGGCGCAGGATGTGATAAGCAGCCTGAACCCGTTTTTACTCTAAGGGTTTTACAAGGTCTAAAAGAGTTTTAGTATGGGTTTTTGTTGTTCCACGGATCCCGTGCCGCGGATCTTGCCATGGTGCAGCGCTCGTGTCGTGGTCCTGATGGTCCTGGTGGTCCTGGTGTCCTGGTGTCCTGGAGGTCCTACTGGTCCTAAACCCTGAACCCCACAAGCCAGACCATCAACCTTAGGAAGCCTGAATCCCTAAAATCAAAAGACCTACAAGCTCTGAAGTACAACGTTTGAACCCTGGCAAAAAGACAGCCCTACCTTCAGGAGCTTAAGACTCTGAGCTTGGTGTGGCTGGCTTCTTGGTGCTTCGGGCTCAGCCGCCGACGACGTGGAACGGGTGGTCGGGATTCGCACTCATGTTCAGAATGCCTGCGAGCTCGTTTGGGAGTTCAGGGTGTAAAGCTTTCAACAGTTAGAGGATCCGAAGACAGTTTGGGGATCCGAAGACAGATAGGGGATCCGAAAGCCTGTGAAACCCTAAAACCAAAGCCTAAGAGACAGCGAGCCTGGTTCGATTAGGGTACTTAAGGCCAATAATACATGTACTGCAAAAAACGACACCAGGGGACCCGAATATAGAATGCTGAACCTAGACCCCAAATCTCAGAGGGGCCCCTAGCTTCAAGCAAGTCGGCACCTGCCAGAACCCCAAACCCCTGATAAACGCACCTAAACCCCAACACCCTAGACCACCCTTATCCAACAGGGACCCCTGACGCAACCTAGACGGAACCCTGCTGAGCCTAAAACCTGAGACCACTTACACAAAGACGGCCTATGTCCCTCCTAAATCGCTTGCTGTATGTCCCGCACTCAACCCCGAACCCAAAAGCCCGAAACCCTAAACCCTGAAATCCTTACCCTAAATCCTACAACCCCAATCCCTAAACCAAAATCCTAAAACCCTAAACCCTAAAAACCCTAAAACCCTAAACCGGAAATCCACAAAGGCGGCCCGAGTCTCAAAGGAAACCTGTTCTCCACTGAACGTGGTACCCTTGCCAAAATTATCATTTCAGCTATTTCTTAGGCATTAATTACATATACCAACCAAAAACTAACAACTGTTTGCAGGTACGATGAAACCGCTGCCGATGTCCCGCCAGAACCTGTGACCCTAACCCCTAAACACCATCTACCCTAAACCCCAAAGCCCCAAACCCCAAAGTGTACAGATAATGTACACCAACAAAACCTTTTTAGAAGGCCTCATATTGCCCTCTAGGGATCCCGAAAGAAACGGTCGGCCTATATACGTCCTGCCAGTAAACCCAAAACCCCATTGCTTGTAAGAGATAGTAGTTACGATATAAACCAAGCTGCCAATGTCTCCGAACCCAAAACCCAAAACCCTAACCCACAAAATCCTTCCTTAAGGTTCCCTTCAACAGTCATTATATTTATATATGTATATATATATATATATACATGTATATGTATAGAGATACGGATAGATATATCGATATACATATAGGTAGATATATATATATATATAATTTGTATTTTTGTATATATACATATACACCTAACCCCTCCAAAGGCGGCCTATGTCCCGCCAGAAGGGGTTGGTCACGCCGGCTTGGAACTCCGAGTCGACGGCGTTGATCTCCCGGTCGGTGCAGTCCTCTCGCCACCGAAGGCTCCAGGGCTCTTGGGGTTTAAGGGAGGGTTTAGGGTTTAGGGTTAAGGGCTTGGTTTAGGGTTTTAGGGTTTAGGGCTTAATTTAGGGGAGGGTTTAGGGCTTAGGGCCCCGAAGGGCTTTGAAGGGTTTGGGCTTTGTAGCTGCTGAGGTTGCGGGTTAGGGCTTTGGGTTTGGAGTTGCTGTCGCTGCAGGGTTTGAGGATTCGGAGTTATAAGCTAAAGGCACTTCGGGCTCTTGGGCCCTTGGGGTTACGGTAGGGGTCTACATAAGTCTGTAGAGCTTCAAAACACTTTGGCATTGGGTTCAAGGTCTAAGGGTCTGGGTATGTAGAGTTTCAGAATACTTTAGCGCGGGGGATAAGGCCTAGTAAGCTTACTTGAAGGATCATGGGACTTAGTAAGTAAGGTTATAAGTACCCTAATTGGGATTTTATGTAATTATAAGTATAGTTACCTTCTTTATAACCCTAGTTACTAAGTCCCATGATCCTTTAAGTAGGGTGCTAAGGCTGCTTCAGGGCTCGGGGGTTGGGGACCCGCATGTCCGTAATCCTACGGGTAAAGGACATCACTTAAACGATAGCTTGATAAGGTAGACCTGACAACAAAACAAAAAAACTACCCCCCCACCCCCCACCCCGCTACAGCCGTTAGAACCCTGGGATGATTAGCGGATTAGCGTTGGCGCCATTGTGCTTACTACTTACTTGTCCTTGTATTCATCCTACAAGTTTTGCTTCGGCGCTTAGTATTGCAATGATATTATGGTTCGTATTACTGCATTTTTGTTATCCCGAGACCTTTAATCCCTAAGCCCCGACACCCTAAAACCCTAAACCCTGAACTCCACCAGACCTTGAACCCTAAACTGCCCTAAACCCTTACTAAATGGGAGTTTCCGAAAAGAAGGGGTACCTTATTTGGGGGTCCTCATAATAAGGATCCTATTATTTAGGGTACTATATTAGGGTCCCTCATTTTCGGAAACTCCCAAATCCTAAACCCTATACCCGAAACTCCGTCGGAGTGCTCTGTCCTTCGTTAACAAGGGCTCGGAGAAGAAGCGCGCGAAGCGATCGAGGGCGTCGCCCAAAGCTTCCACTTTGACCTGGAACCTGGGCGACTGTCCCCAAGGAGGGTTTAGGGTTTGGGGTTTAGGGTTTTAGTCTTTGGGGTGAATAGGCTTTAGGGTTTAAGGTCTACAGGGGCTCCCTCCAAGGAGGGTTTAGGGTTTAAGGCCACCTCCCCCTTTCTGGAATTGGGATCCTGTAAGGGTCTAGGGTTCAAGGTCTAGGGTCTATGGCCTAGGGCTTAGGATTTGAGGGCCACCCCCTAAACCTTTACAGGGTTCCCTTAAAGGGTACTAAGTTACTGTAGAAGGATTCCTCCAAGGATTCTGGCAAGGTACTGTAAGTGTGTAGTACAGGGGCCTTAGCCGACGCATAGGGTTAAGACATGTGTAGAATATTCCATAATTCTTCGAGACCTGGAAGGGGAAACTGGCCAAAATGGAGAACCCTAAAACCTTTTGCGGTTTAGGATTCGGGGTCTAGGGCTTCGGGTTGGGGTTTCGGAACCCTAAACCCCTTCAAATTCAGGGCTTCGGGACCTACACCCCTTTTGTAGGGCCTAGGGTTTAGGGTTCATGAAAGTGCACTGAGATGCTTTGCATTGGCTTAGAGTCTAGAGTGCTTCTCAGACTCTAGGGCTCCGCAATGCCGTACGCCACTTGGTGGATATCCCATCACCGGTTTAGGGTTTAGGGTTTTCAGACAGATCTGCTATACTTTCTCTTCACACTCGCCAGTGAGTTTACAACGGCCTTCAAGTACAAGCAGACTCAGACGGAATGCAGCCTAAAGCCGAGCGGTGTTCCCTCAAGCCTAAACCCCAAACAGCATTCCCTAAGCCCTGATAGAAAGCGGTTACGAACCCTGTGACCTCTTTTAATAGGTTCATTAAAGGAACCCTGCAAGGAACAATGCCTCAACCCCAAACCCCATTCGACTCCGGTCGATGATATATAATATAAACCCTGCATTACCCATAATAAGGAATATACCATAATTCCCAAAGTTTAGGGTCCTTGAGGTAATGCAGGATATATATATATATATATATGAACCCTAGACCCTAAGGATCTCTTAAAGGAACCCCTTAAAGGTACCCTTATAGATCCCTTTAAAGGAACCCTAGGATTCATATCATCAACAGCTCTCCCTGAGATCACGGCATGTAGTTGGTGGTCCAGCAGCCTGTGTTCCTCGGTTGCTCGGGAGTCTACCGCATGGAACCTAACAACCTGGAGAACGCATGGGGCTCCTTCAAGAGCTCCCTCAAAGGGTCCATAAGAGTTCTATGGGATCTATGCGGTTCTATGCAGGTCTAGGATTTAGTATAGGGTTGAGGGTGCACGGTTTAGGGTGTGGGGCCTACAGGGTCTGAGTGAAGGCAGTCTGCCGGTTTTCCAGTCCACAGCTGGAAGCGTAAGGTCCACCGGCTCAACACAGAAGGGTTTGGGTTTTGGGGTAAGGGGTTAGGGGTTAAGGGTTTAGGGCGAAAATATCCCAAGAGAAGGACAGCCTTCAGCTGTTTAAGTGCGGAGAAGCGTCGCGTTGGCTGCGCCACCATTCTGTTTGATGAATTCGTGGTATTCTCCTCGAGCCCTACACTGTTTCCTTTGAAAATCGTTGAAATCATTTCGATTTTAGAGCGCACGGGTGCAACACCCAACAAGATCGACGGTCTAGGGTTCTGCAGCGTGCCTACTTCAGACCCACAAAGTGCATAGTTTGTATGTCTATTTGGGTCAGGTGTGTTCTTGAGGAGACGATTCGACGAACCAGAACGGAATCCCATGCTCGTAAGTTGCCCAAAACCCCGATATCAAACCGCTGAACGAAGCCCGCCTGGACCTTGAAACCTTGAAGCCTGAACCTTTTTCCAGAACCCTAAACCCCAAACCTTTAAACCTCTATACACACCCTACGGAACCCGAAACCTTAAATGCGAAACTCAAACCCCAAACCTGGAATTCCCAGATTCATGCGGGAGACTCAGAAAACAAAAGCCCTCAATATCCTTAGATAGTAGGATCCTCAGTTTTCGCAACCCGAGAGACACGGACGCCACAACGGCCCGCTCTGATCCCCAAGCCCTTTAACCGTAAACCCAAACCCCAAACGCAATAAAAGCCTAATAGATCCATGGAAGGAATGCTGAAAGGAACCCCTAAACCTCGAACCCCAAACGGCATCCTGTAACCAAAACTCTAAACTCCAAACCCCCGAACCCCGGAACCCCTAAAATAAAAGAACCCTTCGCGTCCTTCTTTGGGGTACTTCTTCGTACCCGTGAAGAGCATGTGCCTGGGTTCTTGTTCAGGAGCTCAGTCAAAGGAAGCCCCATTATTTACTACAGGTCCCCATGATGGTGACTTGAATTAAATTCTTCCTAGACCCTGAACCTGAAGCTCATTATTTGCTGTAAATTCTTCATTAAGCAGGAAACTAACAATCCTCCCCAAATCACGTTAAATCCTAAACCATTCGACTGTAAGGGATACTAAATTATCCGCAAATCGATACCTCCTTTACCCTAAGGGTCCAAGTATCTAATAATCATATACTCTCCTAAATAATATTGAGCTACATAACTACTATCCTAAACCCAAGTACCTAATTATTGGGTCCTTTGGACCCTCAGGGTTACAAGAGC